AAAAAAAATTGTTTAAGTAAAAATTAACAAAAAAAAATAAAAATAAAAATAAAAAATAATAAGAAATAAAAAGTAAATAGTAAAAATTTATTTAAAAAAAAGTAGAAAAATTTAATATTTTGAATATAACTTTTTATTAATAAAAATATTAAAAAGTATATTAATAATATAAAGAGAATTTAAATAAATACTTTAATTAGATTTTTTAGATATTTAGTGCAAATTGTTTAATTAAATTTAATTTAAATTAGATGATGTTTAATAATAGTAATATTATATAAATATATAAAATAAAGTTTAAATAAGTTTAAGATAATTGATAGTATTATTAATATATGATATAATAATTATTTGTAATTATTTAATATTTATATATTATTAAATATAGATAATAAAATACCAACTATTTAATGTATTATAATAAAAACAATTTAAAGAATTATGATTTATTTTTATAGGATTACTAAATATTTAGATAGTAAAGGTAATGATATATACTGTAGTAGACTTGGGTGCTGAAATCTATAGGTGCTAAAATATGTTTGAAATTTGACATATGCTGAAATATAGTTTCAGAATTTTGCCAAAATTCTAAACTCCAAATCCTAAACTATTGCCAAAATTCCAAACCTTTATTGAAATTCCAAATAATTGCTGAAACCCAAAACTGTTGCCAAATCCCAAAAGTATAATCTATATAATATAATAAAAAACTAGCCAGTATTTTTTTTCCAGTACCCATAGTTTATATAAGACATGAAGGAGGTGACACAGCAGAATAATTTATAAAAGTATTGGTAGTGATACCTACCAACATTTTACTGGAGGCATCGTATTAAAGTTTTCATCTTAATAGAGGTCGTGTTAATTTTATTATTTTATCACTCAAATAATAAAGTTAATATTTAGTAATTCAGTAAAAAAAAAATTAATATTTATTATTATAAAAATTTACCATATATTATCAAACTGAACTGAAAAAAAAACTTCAGTTTAGTTCAGAGCTCTAGTTTTGGATTTTGGCAATGGTTTTGATTTTGGCAATGATTTGAAATTTTGGCAATGGTTTGGAATTTTGAAAATGGTTTGGGATTTTGGCAATGGTTTTAGATTTTAGCAATAGTTTGGGATTTTGGCAATGATTTAAGATTTTAGCAATAGTTTAGAATTTAGGATTTCAGAAACTATTATATGCCAAAAAGTATTTTGATTTCAGCATATAGCCAAAAAATTTCAACACCCAAGTATAACATACAGTATATTAGCTAATACTTAGGTTACATATAATATAAACTATGTGAAATGGTTGTAATTAGTCATAAAATTTTACCTGAAGATAGAGGAGTAAACATTACTATTAAAATAATATTAACTAATATATGTTACTGCCCTAAGTAAATGCATTTTAAAAAATTTAATAAATTATATTAAATTTAAGATTAAAATTTAACTGAATTTATTTGAAAATTTATAATTAAAAAGTAATATAAATAATAGTTTAAATTAAGAAAATTCAAATATAATAATATTTTTACTATAATATTATTAATTAAAAATTTTTTTTTTTTAGTAATATCAAATTTTAATTAATTATAATATTTTATTTAACTTTCAGATTTATCATTTAAGGATTTTATTATTTTATTTATAAACTTTTGTATTATTATAAATGAGGATTATTATAGTAAAAAATTTTAATACAAGTTTATATAGTTTTAAAAATAAATATCTTTTGAAATTAAACATCTTTATATAATGAAATTATCATTCCTTTACTAATATTTAAATAACTACTCATTTAAAATTTAAAATTTATTATAGCCCACTTGATTTATTTTATTAAGTTGCTAAATATAATGAACTTATTTTAAAAATCTGATACTTCTATTAATGATAACTTACAATAATCTAAAAGTTACAGTATAATGAAATTATATATTATCTGATATTAAGCATTTCTATAACAATAAAGGATACTTAATCTTGGACTTATATGGTAATTAAATTATTTTAATAAATATAAATAGTTTTTCAGTAAAGTTAAATCAAAATAAAAAATTAATAAATAGGGTATTGCTAAGTAATAACAGTCACCAGGGTGACATTATAATGTAATGTTGGCTATAGATTAAAGAATTCAAATAATTTTGGATATAGCCACTGTATTAAAAATTCTATATTTAAATTCATTTATACTGACGATCGTCTCTTTTTTGTGTAAACTGCATGCAGGTATAGATAATCTTGACCACATTTAATGTTAATTTATTTTGTATCACGAAACATAATACTTTGCACAATCACATAAATATTATAAATATTTATTTTTTTTTTCAAATATTTTTATTTTTTTCTTTTTGTTTAGTAAAAATTACTATACATATTTTTTTTTTTTTTTTAGTTCCCAACCATGTTGTTAATACAAGTTCCGCGAGAAATTCATTTATCAATTATAGAAACTGGTGGTTTATCAATAAACGAATTAAAATCACTTTCATTCACATGTCGTCATTTTGCGCACCTTTGTCTTGCCGAAATTTGGAAATCGAGAAAATTCATAGAAAATTTCTCATTAACGAAATTTCGTGAAACACTATCAAATAATCCATTTATGCCTTATGGAGATTTTATATTAAAAATACAAGTGGATGAATTAGATAAAACACCTCAAATATCTATTGATGCTGAATTAATTAAATTTTTTGCTCAAAAATGTGGGAATCTTAAAGAATTAATGATAAGATTTTCTCAAAAGGAGAGGAATAATAAAGCATGTTTACTTCCGTTTGAGTTGCTTGGTGACCGATTAGTTAATTTATCGATGGTTGCTTATCATCATTTGGATGATTATGATGATTTTGATGCACAAGATGAACAAGAAGAGGGCGTAAAGAATGGAGAGACCAAAATCACGGAATTATCTTCATTGGTGAACGGTGGGCAACAAATTATAAAACAAATGTATAATTATTATTATAAACCCAAAGTAGAATTTCATGATGCGCTAAGTGAGACTATTAAATTAGGAAATGTGAAGAGTATTCGATTATATTGTCCAAAAATGACCGAAAAAGTGTGGGAATGGTATGTAATTTTGAACTTGATATCTAAAAAAAAAGGAAATTTACTAAATATAATTATTTCTTTATTCTAAGTTTTACGAGAAGTGCAGCAGATTCTTTACAAGCGATAAGAATAACATTGAATAGCTCAACAATGGTACGGGATCCATCAACAATAGTATCTTTATTTGGAAAATATTGTAAAAATTTAAGAACATTTGATATAGATACATATAATATACAAATTTCGAAAGAATCAGCGTTATTAATGTTGGAAAATTGTAAAAAATTAGAAACTTTAGATATTTCAGCATCAAGTAAGATAGCTCCTTTGCTGTATAAATCACAATCTATTAATTCATTGTATTTATCATATCCACAAGAAGGACAAGATTTAAATCAAATTAAAGAAATGATGGAAAATTTAACGAGATTATCATTCTTAAAAATTGATGGTAAATGTAATCTTTCATTTTTGAAAAATTTTCCAAACTTGGATTATTTACAGATTGGAGATTTTGCTAACATGGATGATGAGGGATTTTTAAACATATCAAAAACAAAAATAACAGAATTAATATTGGTTAAAACACCAAAAATATCAGATGAAGCGTTAAGCATGATGAGTCTAATGCCAACATTAATTAAATTTAATATTAGAGACCGTCTCCCTAATGTAACACAAAGAGGTTGGATTAATTTGGCCAAAAGACCTGTCGGTAACCCTTCATGGCAAGTAATAACCATTGATGATGGGAGACAGATTAATCCTGAATTTTTTAAAATATTAGATCATTCTCATCATAATTTAGAGACTTTGAGGATTAGAGGTTTCAGTTATGATAATTTACTAAAGGACGATTCTTTTGATAGTTTAAAATTTAAAGAAGCATGGGTATATTATAAAAAACATTCCCAGAATCCCATTATTCATTGGCCTATTAAATATAATGCTAAAAGACCCTCTAATGTTAGAGAAGCTTATGATGGTTACGAAGGAAGCTATTAAAAAGAGCAGTAGAAATGAAAAAGAACCTCATTATTTATTTTATTTATTTATTTATTTTATTTATTTATTTTATTTATAAATTTATTTAATCAAGTTTCTTTTCATGTTCCATTTTCAATTCTTGTATTTTAATATTTGTATGACTCGTACATATAAAATGACGTATAAATAATTGCTGATCGCCGGTTTGAACTTATGTGCGCCCCACTTTAATTTTTTAATATATGATGTAAAAATTAAACAAAAAAGGAAAGATATTCAAACATATTTATAACTACCAAGCCTACTAAAAAGTTAGTACAAATCTTTACATCATTAATCGTCATAAATTTCATAAATTGCGAGGAAATTTACTTAAATATAAAAAGGATCAATTTCAAAACAAATTAGCTTTTTGAAAAAAAATAAAAAATAAAAAAGATGTCTCAACAAAATACAGGAAAACCTGACGTAGAAGCTTTAGAAAATGCTGCTTCAGTAATTCAACGTGAAGAACAAAAATTGGCAGGACACAATATATCGGGAGGAGCTGGCACATATTAATTTAATTTTTTTTTTTTTTTTGGGCACATTACTCTAAAATTAATAAGAAAATAAATAATTTTTTTTAGCCTCAAAAGCGAAGTCTTTAGCTGATAAAGCAGCGGATATGTATGATGAATCTGGTACTGCTACCATTAATAAGAAAATTAATCTTAAAAACATAGATGATGCCGCACGTACCATTCAACGTGAAGAATCTAAAATATGTGGCGGTGAAACTCCATCCAGTGGTGCAGGTATAATAAATCATAATCACACGAATTTTGCCAATTATTATTATACTATAATTGATAATATATTTTTATAGCTGCCGCTGCTCAATCATTCGCTGCTAGAGTTAGCCGAGGAGAAGACCCCACTAAAGGCTAACGATTTTACGATTATTAGACGGTATTGTAATTTATTACCGTTGAATTTTTAAATTACAATACTTCACAAGATTACAGTTATTTGTTATTATTTTATTGTGTTGATTCTATATGTTATATAAAAAATTTTTGCTAAAACTTTATCATGTATTAATAAAAAAATATTTGTAATACTACGAAATATTTATGGAATAATTGTAATATTTTAACATATAATAAAAGATGTATCTAATTTTGATATAATGTATGCATTAACATAAACGCGTATTCCAGGAGAAATTTTTAACGGTGAAGATAACACCTATAATTTGGTTGAGAAGATTCAGAAAAGTCTTCTCGCAGTATTGACAATGTAACCAGAACAAAGGACACGGGCTCTTTACAAATTATGGGATGATGAGCTTAAGACAGCAAAGGACAGCGCAAACTGATAGGTTACTTCGAAACTTAAAACGTGTCCTAGATACTTCACTCATTTTATTAACTCCCGGGTTCTAGACGCCATTAGGAACGATCATCAAAAAATGATAGTCCAGTACCGCCAAATAAAACATGATAAATGGCAGAAAACCTTTTATTAAGTAGACTCTTATCGCGCTTGTTACTTTTTTTTTGTTTTACTTTGAGATTTGATGAAGAAATGACAAGGAGAACTTATTAGACAGTGCTAATTCCTGCTAACCTGATTTCTTTTTTGTAATAGGTTTTGAGAGACCAAATTGCGAACAGAAATTTGGTAAAAAGCAATCTTGATGAATTTATAACTAGTCTCCAATTTATGAGTATTCACATGTACAGTACAATTTTATGTGCTGTAAAAACCGCTACGAACCTACAGTATGTGTTTCTCACACAATGTAAAATAAAGTTTATCAAGATTCACAATATGTAATGTAAATCGTTGCGTATATTGAATGTTTGATGATCAATTGATAGTGATTTGCAGATTTTGCAGATTATAAATCAAATCTAGGAGAAGGAAGTTAGCGAACGGAATTAGCAAAGGAAATAAAAAAAAGAAACGAAAGAACGAAAAAATAGTGTTACGATCCGGATGATTAACGGATGGCCAATTTGTTCAAATATTTCCCATCTATTTTTGGAAAGAGATGCCTACATTTCCTAAATTATGTATTGGCCATTAGGGTTTACATTTAACATTATAGGACGACCCAAAAAAATGAATTATTCTATTGACTAAATGTTAAAAATGAAATATAATTCAGACGGATTGAATTTTATTATCTATACGGATGAATATTTCCGATTTTTGATGAGTTTTCTAATTTATCTCTTTTTTTTTTATTTCCGAGGGAGATATTTATTATTAAATTATACAGTGTGGGACAAAAAAAATGAGAATTTTATTTTTGATCATTAAGGCTCAATTATAATAGAAAAAACGTGTGAAATTTACTGTATTTTAAAGCTTAAGATCAGCTAATTTTATTAAAAAAAATTTAATATTATACACATTTGCCATTATTTCAATAATTAACTTACAACCTCGTCTAGTTGACTTTAAAATATCGATTAGAACTATTTTTAGAGTATTTTGGCATTTCTCCATCATAAATTCTTCCAAATAATTAAAATTTTTTTGGTATTCATTTCTCCGCCTTTTTTTTTGTGATATTCTATAAATTTCAATAGGATTTTGGTCGGGGCTATCTCATGACCACCCTGAAACTTCTGATGAATTTTCTTTTAGACTGAGCTTAAAAAAATGACTATTATGCATGGTAATTTCTCTTGTTGGAAATACCAACGAATGACCACAAAGCATTCAGGAGATCTCAGAAGCACGTGTACAAAAAATTTCTGCATAAATCTCGATGTTCATAATTTGTCTGAAACAAAATAAACTTGCTTTTCCCTTCACAAACAACTGCCCCATGCCATAATTTCTTATATAATCTTCAGACGTACAGCAAACAGGTCTTTCCTCTTTATACTAATATTTAAAAGTGTTACTAAAGAGTTGCAAGGCTGATTTATCAGCAGATAAATTTTTTTCCCATTGGTCATAATATTATTTTGTGTCCACTCTACATGTCTTTGCTTGTGTGCTTCGATTAACATAGGAGTTGCTTTGGGAAGTTTTTTTTACATAATCAACACTTGAAGGATGACTTCTAATTGTTCTATATTATACTTTTCACCTGTATTTTTTAATTTTCTTGCTAAAGTTCTTGTAGAAAAGGATGTATCATGCCTTACATATTGACTGAGTTTATGGAATGCACTTGCGGTAATTTTTTTTAGATCTTCCATTCCCTCTAGGATGCTCCAAAAACTAGTTTTTTTCGATTTTTTTTTGTTTTTATAAATTGTTGACAATAAAAATTACATGAGGTTGTGTAATTCTTTAATATTATATATACCATTATTTTATAAGTCTAATGAGAATTTATTATAGGTTTTTCCTTTTGCGCAAGTCATTGTTTTGGAATTTTTCACGAAAATAAAGGGCGTTAATGGATGCAAAGACAGTCAAACGTAGTCACAGATGTAAGATTTATTATGTATTTAAGTGGTATAAATTTTAGTTTATTTTTGGCGATGTAGATCATTTTTACTCACGTGATCACTTTTCTCATTTTTTTTGTCCCACACTGTATATTAAGATATACTTACAAAATATCTCGAAAAAAATTATTCCTTTATTGATTGATTGCATATAATTATTAAAATGTGACGATCCGTTAATCATCCGGATCTTAACTCTACGAAAAAAAGCGAATTTAAAGTATGTTATTGGGTTACGTATTCTTTATAAAGTAAGGAATGTAAAGCAAATTTCAGTGTTTTACCGCACAAAAGAAAAGTCGTCCCGTGCCTTACAGTATAGAGAAGTGAAGTAAAATTGATAACATCGTGCGGTAACCATAAAAATAAATATATCAAAGAATCTAAATTAAATTTGCTCCAAATTTCATTACGGTGTGAGATCATCATGTGATTTTATATTTATATTACCATTGTCGAGTGGAATTTTCATAAGTTCGTTGGTTAGAATTAAATTGTAATATTAACTGAGTTTTATATACTTGAAGGTCTAAAATTTGGTTCTCCATCCCGATGTGCCATCAATTGGTTTTTCTCTGATTATTACTTATGGATATTATACGGCGTAGTGCGGTTAAGTATTCTCTTAAATTTCTCGTTGTGCATATTCAAATATTTATTCAGTTTAATGGATTATTAGATCATTTATCTTAATTTATTTCTTATACTAATAGTTATTTATTTATATTTAAATATATATTTATTTATACAAAGTAGGATTTTTTTAAAAAAATTCTTTGTGTACATCTTTTATAATATTCCAGCAAAGTAATTATTTAACAGATAATCCGGCAACCCTCAAAAATTTCTTACGGTTATAACTAATCGTAGATAAATAAGAACTAATTTGTTCATATTCGTCATAATTAAAATCTCTACCTTTCAAAATTCTATTAAAATCATCTTTTAATTTCATGAAAATATAACCGATTACTATATTATTTTCCCTTAATTTTTTTAATTTAAATTTAATACTTTGTAAATTCTTAAAATTACCAGATATAATTATTGAAATTTTTTCAAAAAATTTTTTGTACGTGCCATCATCATTTAATATATCCTTAAATATATTTTCGAAATTCTTTTGTAATTGATTCAATCCTTTTTCCATGTTTGTTAATTGTTGTAATAAATCTTCCTTATTATTAAAATTATTTAAATATCTATCTAATAATGAATAATAGGAAATAAATTCAGTTTCGTTAATCTTATGATCCACCGCAAATATGGACGAATACAATTGATCCAGTAATGAGTTAGTTTTTTCCAATAGAACTTTTTTAATATTAAGTTCTTTTAATTTCCATAATGTATTACCATAATAATCTAATGACGTTTCATACGAGATTCTTGTTCTTGACGTTAATTCTTGTAAATTTAGAGTATTTATTAATATTTTTCTATTGGATGTTAAAACCGTATTTGAATTTCGTGTTAGATCAATTATTGATATCTCGGATTGTTTCAGTTCATTTAACGCTAAATAATAAATATGTCAATGTTAATAAAGAAGACAAAATGTAAAAATTAAAAAGGAATAACTGAAATAACTTACAAATATTAAAACTATTAATTTCTTCTTCTAAATCTATAAGGAATTTAATTTTGTCCTCAAAGATAGGAGATGATTGACCTTTAGAAAACTTTAAAATAAAATGGATAATTAATAAATTGGTTTTAAGAATTAAATGATGAATAATTTGTTAAATATTAATTTACCTTCATATTAAGAACAAAAGTATTTAAAATAATGGCAAAAGCGATAATAGCGATCAAATAATTGTTGAAATTATTAGATTTCTTTTCATTATTGATATTTTTGATTCTGGTTTGAGTTTTAATAACATTTGAACTGGCCTTAGAATCTAATTATTAAATAGTTATTAGTATAATATTTATTCAAAATTCAAATAATAAAAATTTTAAAAATTAAAATTTTTTTTTTTACCTTTAATCCCTTTCAATTGTACAGTAAATTTTAATCGATGTAACAAAATTTCATCACCTACTACTTCAACTTCCGCATCAAATCCTTTCAAAAAATCATTACCTAATCTAAACCCAATTCTTTCATCTTTGTCTTCTCCTTCAATTTCTTTTACGATCAAAATTTTTTTTAAAGTAATATCAAATTTTTCGATACCCATTAAAATATGAAAATCAACAAGAATTCCTTCAATATTATCATATTCTAAATCATGATATTGTTGTTCATAAGAAGTTTTGGTTAAATGTTTGATTGAATATTTTGTAATATCATTTTGATGTTTTCTCAATTGGTTTAAAGATATAATAGAATTTTCTTGTGAAAGATCTAAAATACCATAACATGGTTGTAAATTATCGAAATGTTGATATTGAAATTCATATTTCTTAACGTTAGTCATCTTTTTTTCTTCTTTTTATCGCGTGATTATGTAATAATAGGAAAAGAAACAATTTAAAGAGAAAAAAAAACGTAACGGGTAAAATAAGTGTATATATATATTTAAAGATAAGAAATAGAAGTTTAATGAGAATATTCTTAATGCATAATGTAATAATGCATGAAATCTTCCTCATGAATATCATGAATATGCTGCACTAGCAATAATTAAATGCAGAAAATCGGTAAATCATTAAACTCGGGTCGGATTTTCAATTATGCCTCGCACAAACTTTTTCACGATGATCTCGATTAATTTGGATCAGAGATTTAAACTCAATCTTCAAACTGTTTATATAAAGTTTAATTAAAAAATTTTTAGGTATATTTATTGTTAATTTATTTATTTATTTATTTTAAGTAACAAAGTAGCCAATAGAACAAGAGAAATACATAAGAAATAAAACTATATGTGATTATCTTTGTAAATACTGATCATCTATAATTAAACGGACCTATCCCTTGCCAAATGAACTATTTTAAAAGAAACCATGTCGTTAAAAAAAGAAAGGGACAGAAGGTATTTTATTTTATTTATTTTATTTTATGGATAGTAAGGAGCAATACAATGAGGATTAAGGAACACAAAAGGCTATTCTAACGAATATAAAAGGTTGATATTATATAGCTTCGTCCACTACAAAGAACCTAAATTCGATGAAGCGGACCCTTACAGGTATTATAAAAAAGAGAAAACAAGAAATTTTTTAGGTATAATGTAGATAGTGCATAATTATATGTAGAGTACTTCATCACGTGAATGACTGCGCCAGCTCCACGCACGTGCCGCAAAAAAATAATACCTATCATTCGCGCCCAATTAGGACGTAGTTTTACTACGAAAAGTTAGCAGATGTTTGATTAGTATTTCTCCGGCACAAGTTAGAGTCATATCATGTTATATTCGGAGCTCATAAAAGATAGATTTTTTTTTTAGATTACGAAAACCAACAAATTTCAGGTAATAGTAGTTAAAGGAGTTGTAGATGTTTTTTGTAGTTGTTTATTTTACATATTATTTAGAACGAGAGATAATAGCTCTAGAGAAACTTTGCTTTTGTTTCAAAGTAGAATGTCTGATTTTCATTATTTTATTATTAATTTAGTGATTATTAGGCAGTTTATAGCGAGTTAATTACTTTCTTTTAGAATCAACTTTTTGCTCATGTAAACCTTTTAATGTTGCTTTTATTAACAGTCCTTACTTTTTTTTTTTTTTTTTAAAAAAAAAAAAGAAAATATTTAACTGATTGTTTCAAAAAAAATATTTTTATATGTTCAATCAGCGATACTCATGAGTCATGATCGAATGATCGAATTTAACATTCGATTTAATCAAATGCTTTAGGATAAAATAGCATATCATAATTTGGTAAAATTTAAATCATAAAGAATTTTATTTTATTTTAATAATTAAATATCTTAAAAAAGAAATTTATATGATGTCGACTATGGCCATTGTGAAAATTTAACACGTGATTATTTTATTGATCATGACGTCAAATATTTCAATTACTTTATTAATTCCAATCAATCTTTCTTATACTATAATACAGCCATCGTGTTTACAAGTAGATTTATGGCCTGGATATTCATGTAAACATCTAATAAAGAAATGGTTTTTTTTTTAAAAAAAAGATTATTAGGAAATTTTTCTCTTATAAATATGATATTGTGAATACTTACAAATAACAAAATTTATATAAACATATACAAGTTACTTGATCACATCCACTAACTTTTTCGAAGTGAATCTTACAATTAGGACAACTCTTTAAGTTATTAAGGTAATATTTGGTAGCAATGTCTGTTTTGTCTTCATATTGACCTTTCTCATCAATTTCTTCACAAGTTTGATTCTCGTGCCAAATAGTTCTGTGATTATAGCATGATTTCTTGCCACAATATACACAAATGACGACTGGATCTAAAAAAATGATAATATGTTTAATAAAATAATTAATGAAATCATAATTATTAAAACGAATACCTTTTCCTGTATGAACTTGTCCACTCCCACAATTGGCACACCATCTAAATTCCGGGATCTGTTGGATCGCAAGATTGAAAGAAAGTTTATCGTATCTAAATAAAAGTTACACGTTAATAAAAGAAACTCCCTCAGAAAAAAAAAAAAAAAATCGTTATACCTTTCAAGGATTTCATTTGTTACAATATTTTTGATATCTTCTCTTTCCATTAATTTACCACATTGTGTAATAGGGCAAGTAATTTCAACTTTATTACCTTTAATGCTAGTAGTGACGTGTTTATTAACACAATTTAGGCAAACGACAGCTTTATGAGTACATTTTGATGTAATTTTACGATAATCTCTATTTTCTGTTTCGCAACAAACAACACATTCATATAAATCAGTAATTAACATACTGTGATTTATTAAAAATAAAATAATGTTTAAGAATAAAAAAAACTGAATTTCTAGAGCATGAATGCTTAGCTTTTATAATGATTAATGAGTATCACAATTGCAAATTTGCGATCTATTATTCTTTTTTTAAGTAAAATCCACTGAAGTATGTGAGAACGCCAATATTAAGCATTTACAGTTAGTCGATAATTCGTTTTTACAATATAAAAGTATCGAATTTCCATACAAGTTATCAAATCTTTTTTACAACGCGAGAACAATAATCATCATTTTCAAAATGTTTAACATACTTGTTAAAGCTCATTCATTTAAAACTCGAATCGATGTTGATTCAAATGATACTATTCAACAAGTCAAACATAAAATCCAAGAAAGACATGACATTGATGTAGATAAACAAGACTTGTATCTCGGTGGTAAAAAACTTGAAAATAAAAGAACTTTAAGATATTATAATATTGGACAAAATGATAGTATTCAACTCAATCAAATCAACATCCCTGGTGGCATAGAAATAATTGTTAAAAATCAAAAAAATAATAAACCCACTATTCTTCAAGTAAAATCTTCTTATACGATTGAAGAAGTTAAAAGAAAATATGAAGAAGAGGATGGTTTGTCAGCAAATTGCTTAAAATTTATATATAACGGTAAAGAACTCGAGAATCATAGACTTCTCTCAGACTATTGTATTAAAGGAAAGGATATTATATGGTTAGTCGCAAGAGTCAATGGAGCATAACTCCCTTTTTTTAGTGAAATATTGGTGTTGATATGTAATGTATTTACTGTGAAATATATTTTAGTTACTTATTTGAATTTATATATAATAGCGAATTAGTCATAAAATGTATAGTTCAAAATTTTATAACAATGATCACGGTATAATGGCAATTATAAATTTAAATTTAACGTATTACTTATGGTTGTACAATTAAACTTTTAATTTTCAAAATTTAAATTTTATTATGTTTTACACGTTATGACATTTATTCATCAAGGACCAAGTTTAACTATCATATTAATCGATCGATTGATAAAAATAATCATATACACACAAACTGATAATAACAATATTATTTCATTATCACAATTGTTATTCATAGTAAATTAGTTGATATTTTATTCTGTACGAGATTGACACGTGAACGCCACCATGTGACATTTTTAATTAATTATCGCAATAATCAAGATTTTTAAAATGTTAAAAGATCTGTCGTCCCGTTCTATTACGTAAATCTAATAAAAGGTGGTTAAGCCTATCGTCGAAACATCCGAATGAATTGCAATTAGACTCATGGTTTGGATATTCATGTAGACATCTAATAAAAAAATTATTTTGTTGTATGTAAAAATAAAAAATATCAAATAATAATAATAATAATAATAATAATAATAATAAAATACTTACGATATACAAAATTGATGTGAACATTTACAGGTCATGTGGTCACATCCTTCAATTTTGTCGATATAAAGATTACATCTAGGACATCTCGTTGACTTTGAAAGAAAACGCTCGGTAGCAATTTCTAATGGTTTATTTATCTCATCATATTTTTCGCAAGTTTGATTTTCATGCCAGAGGATCCCGTGAGTATAGCATGAGTTCTTGTCACAACCTTTGCACATGAAAATTGGATCTAAAAAAAGGAGAATGCGTAAATTAGGTAAATTAATTGAAATTATGACTCTTTAAGAGATATACAGTACCTTCTCCTATATGAATTTGTCCACTTCCACAAGAGGCTTGACACCATCTAAATCTTGGATTCTTCTGAATCGCGAGTTTGAAGGTAAGAAAATCATATCTAAAAAAATTTATGAGTAAATTAAATTTTGTTTAGTTGTCTCCTTTTTTTGATAAAAAGAAAATTATTAAACCTTTCGTAGATTTCTTTTGTCGCAATTTTCTTGATATCATCTCTTTCCATTAATTTATTACACATTGGAACAGGGCAAGTAATTTTAATTTTAGAATTTTGATCAAATTGAATAATAGTTTCAAATTTATCAATATTTGTATCAATGTATCTATTAATACATTCTAAACAAACATCAACTTCATGAATACATTTTGAGGTAATCCTATGATAATTCAATTTTGTTTCTAAACAAATGGTACACTCACGAGTGAACATTATTGAAATTAAGAACAAGAGAAAAATTTAAAATGGAAAAAAGATTGTTAGTTTTTATATAGTTTCATAAATTATCTAAAATAACTCGGATAAGGAACATGTGAAAACGCCCATATTAAACGTTTATAATAAATAATTCGTTATAGACAGAATGACAAAATCTTTTTTTTTCATGTGAAAACGCCTCATATTAAACATTTATGGTTTTATTAATCAATAGTTCATTCGTTAGATATTTGATACTAATTTTTTTTTTTCAAATTTTCCAGATTTATAAAGACACCAATTCATTCATTCATTCATTTATTTATTTATTTTTTTTTGTTTAAGAAAAAGAACGCGCAAACTGATATATAACATTTTAAAAAATGTTTAACATAACTATTTCATGTATATCTTTTTCGTCTTTTGAAAAACAAATTAAAGTTTCTCCAAGTAATACGATTCAAAATGTCAAAAATAAAATCAAACTAGAAACTGATATTGATATTGATAAACAAGTATTATATTTTGGAGATCAACTACTTGAAAACGAAAGAACTTTAAGTGATTATAAAATTGAACAAAATGATCTAATTCGACTCGTTCTAATGAATCCCGGCGGGTTTGAAATATATGTTAAACATCAGGATAAATCTACTGCTATTCAAGTACAATCTTCATATACAATTGAAAAAGTTAAAGAAAAATATAATGAAAAGAAAGGCATTCCAGTATGTGAACAAAGATACATATATAATGGTAAAGAACTCGAAAATCGAAGACTTCTTTCAGATTATTGTATTGAAAAATCGGCAACTATTTATCTCACCTTTAGATTATTTGGTGGTGCTGCTTTACCTTAATTTCTTTATAATGTGAATTTTGTAGTTAGTGTTATATATCATAAAAATTTAAGGATTGTTTATTTGTAATTGTTTTACGCCACAATATGATTGTCGTTCTTGTTTTTCTTGGTTTAGAATAGTAATTCTTTTTCTACAATATGATAATCAATTTGATTATCATATTGTTCCTTAGCTAAATAAATCATGTGTCCATCACGTGCGAAGTAATTCATGTGAATTCAATTAAAGTGGTTTGGACTTGTTATATTTACAGAATACTCATTGATGCTAATTTTTACTGCTCCATTCATATGATTTGTAAAATACTACTGCTGCGTATGTATAATAAATAATTATTGTAAATTGATAATCGATAATTAAAGTCTAAAAAAAAAAAGCCTTTCTCTCATTCTATGTAAAAGAAATATTATTTTCGCGTATATAGAATAATATTTCGCTTATAAGGTTACTCCCCCAAAAGAAAAATATTGTTTTACACGAAAAATATTATTATTATCTTTGCTCATTGTTTCACGCGAAAAATATTATCTCGCTATAACTATGGATATTGATTTTGAAGATGTCATTTATGAAGAGGATCTTATTAAGGTATTGTTATGTGAATATTTATAGTAATCAAAGATAGTAATAATAAAATATTAGAACATATTTTTATAGCTAAGTGATTGTGAAGAAGATAATAATAAAGAATGTAAGTTGGCTTTAAAGCTTAAATAGCTTGAATATCTGGAAAAAGATTTAGCTTTAGCATTAAAAGAACATGAACTTGCTTTAAGGGAACGCGAAACAAAAATAATTAAGAATTAGTATTAATTAAAGATTTTAATAAAAAAATTCACAATAAAATTTTTCTTCAATTTTAACTTAATATGGCAGTTGAGCTCAATATCGATTTCAACACCAGGTTAACTCGACACGTCTTACCGCGTCATCATTCTAAATTTTATTCCATAACAGATAATACTTTATGAAAAAAAAAGATGATTAAAGAAAAAAAAAATTCGGATATTTTATACTAGCTCGGTTCCGGAAACCGTTGGAAGTTCGGAGCTCAATTAGTCTTTTTTGCTGTGTTTTACGGAAATTATGAAACACAAATTTAAACAAGTTTTAAACTAAATTTATTAAACCATCAACATTTTTTTTTTTATTTATTAAATAAAGAAATAGGTATTATAAAGATGGTTTTGTAACATACTGTATTAATGTATTTGTAATAATATCACGTGAGCAAACGGACAATTTATATTAATTTTATTTAAAAAAAAATGTCTAATATTTATAACAGAAAATCCAAAGTTTAATAAAATTATAACTACAGATGTATTGGTTAACGTTAAATAGAGTTTATCATATCATCTAAATTATATATATCGGATGTATTGGGCTTATCGTTTATTGAGGGAATTTCTACAACTACGTCATCATTAAATTTTGATATTAATTGATTTAAAATTTCATATACTTGAACGATGTTAGGTCTTAATTCTGGATCTCCATTCCAACATTCCTGGTAAAGTTTTTGATACTCTGGAGGTGTATCTTCAATGGGTTGTTCTCTAATATTTTTACTGATACGACTAGTTAACGGATATATATTTGAATTTAAAAAAGGGGGTTGCCCGCTTGTAATTTCCCATAATAAAACTCCTAAACTATAAATATCAGACCTTTTATCTTTTTTATAATTATCAATTTCAAAGCATTGTGGTTCTATATACTCAATCATTCCCATGTTATTAGCTATTGAATTAGAAGTAACGTCATTTAATTTTTTAGATAATCCGAAATCTGCAATTAATAATTTACCATCATTCACTAATATGTTTTTTGAGTGCTTTAAAATGGTTAGTATAATTTAAATAGATTATAATAATAAAAAAAATATTTATAACCAAAATTAAAATTACCAAATCTCTATGGATTATTTCTTTAGAGTGCAAACATTTTAATCCACAAGTAATATCCAACGCCATTTGAATCTTATCTTTCCACCGTAATGAACCAAATCTTTCTTTATTACTTAAATATTCCCTTAAATTCCCTCCATTGGCATATTCCAATACTAGAATATAATTTCCAACATGATCTATACATTTAAGCACAATTATATATTTAATTTAGACTTTATAAAAAATTGATTAAAATTCTTGAAACAAACCTTTTGTTATTCCAAGAAAACGGTTGAGATTTTTGTGAAAGTTAATCTTGCGAACAAGTCTTAACTAATTAAAGAATAAACCAGATAAATTTTAAATTTTATATTATTGATATATTTGGTAGTTGAATATTTTTACCTCTTCGAAAAACTCGGAAATTTCATTATTATTAATAAAACTTTTCAATGCAACTTTATTTCCATCATCAGTTACTGCACTGCTTACAACACCGAATCCTCCTTCCCCAATTGTTTTAATGTTACTAAATTCATTATATTCAAAAAAATTAATGTCTTCATCTTTTATTTTGTTTTTGATCCATACCTAAAAGTTAAGTGTATACCGAGTAATTCTTAATAGAAATAGATTTTGATCATTAATATGAGGGGAAAACCCATATTTACATCTCTATTTGCTTTTTTTTCTTCACTGGTTGTAATTTTAGAAATTTCCGGTTTCCGTATAACTGGTGCTACTGATATACCGATTGAAAAAAGTAAGTTAATTTTAAAGTCATATAATGATAATAATGATATTACTATATCTTACCTAGTTTTTGTAATTTAGCGAATATACCACTAAAAGAATTTGAACGAAATTTTAATATATAAATACTTGTAATAGAAAAATGATAAAGAATAAAGGAAATACCTTCTAAATGGATTAAAGACTATACATCTAAGGTCACATTCATCTGATGAAATTTTCTTATCGATAAACTTTAATTTAATTTGTTTAGGCTGTTGTTTCAAGAAAAAGAAAACTGGTCCAAAATTTTTGTTTGAAAGTAAACTAATAAAAAGTAGATCATCATATTTATATCCGCAATCAATTAAATTAATAATAGAATTACCATTCATCTTTTTTCTAAAGTGTATACTTTCGTAAGTCTTAGAATTTCCTGATACGAGTACTTGAAACCTAAAACTACGAGGTAATTTAACATATTTATTCTCTTTCAAACTATAAGAAAATACGTTTGCTTCGATAGTACTTTCTTTATTTAAAAAATAATGCCCGATAAGAAAAGATTTATCCAAATCATTCAATTCATCTAATACAGGAATTCCAAGGAAAGTATTTTGATCAAAAATGAATTGCGTTAACTCTTGATCATTTAAATTTTGATAATCTTGATAATCTTGATAATGTACCTCCAACCGCGTATCATCATTTTCATCATTTGAAATATCGAAACCATAACCAATAATCATAAACCCAATTTTTTATTTATGTGATTGATATTTTTTGTTTTTTTTGGTAACAATGGATAATGAGTTTCGGTTTTTCATTACCCTTACGTGGATGATAGATTTGACAGTTATAGAAATCATTTTTCTCATCACCAACAATCGTCGCGAATATACTACAATCAGCTTCTTCTTTCTTAATTATTTCACAGATTTTTTCTTGTAATGGTAAATCAACAATTTCTCGCTCTCCGTATTCTAATTGACGACTGAAAGATATAATATCACGATAAAGAATTTTTTTCCAATAACTTTATATACTTCTTTGCGTAGATTATGATCTAAAAGTTGAAAAATATGAATCGATTCATGAAAATCTATGCATTTCCAACATTTATAATTGGATAATGACTCAATCCAAAGTTCATCATCAAAATTAAAGAGATCTTCTTGTGATCTTCCTCCTAGGTATCTTGTAAATTGACGACGTGCTGCCACCTTTGAGACTGTTGTTGATTTTCTTATTGAATTATCTATATTTGAATTTCCTTCGTAAACCATCCCACCTAAAGCTTTAGTAGGAACGAATTGACCGTATCTTTTAATAATTTTTCTAAGTTTTTCACGATCTTGTGATTCTATGGCTTTTTTAACAACTTCGATAAATTCATTAGTAGGTTCTAAACCTTCAAATTTTAAATGCGATTTAGAAATTTTTGTATAATTTAAAGAAAAATTTCTTACTGTTTCATTACTTTTATTTTTTGTATTCATAAGTCTTAACGATCCAAAATTAACCAATCCAGCTTCAGCATTAAGAAACATATTTATTTTTTTCTCCCAGGTATCCTTTGAATTAAATTCGACTGTTCCATCATGAATAGTCTCAATAGGTTTGACAGGATTGATACGATTTATCGTAAATGCTATGCAATCCACAATTTTAATTTCAGTATTAATGAGGGTTAAAGTACGACCGTATTCAAGTCTAAATGTCGTTTTAAATATTCTAGATCAAAAAATATTTCCTAATTTAGATGTAGTTTTTTTTAAATCACATATATAGTTTTTTCCATATTGCTATTGGTTATGGATTCATTATCAGACGTTATGATATTATAATCTCTATCTAAAAACAATAAACCATCATTCATTCTAATAATATCATCATATGCAAGTATTTTTCGAACTTCTGATGACTTATTGGTAATTTTCAGTTTAATAAGCGACGAATCTTCTCTTATCGTTTCCTTTCTTATAACTTTTATGTAAATTCCTGTATCAGCCATGTTTCAGATTTTAGTCTAAAAAAACTTACAGTATACTTTAACTAATACTTGATTTTCGTAATGAAAATGGCATAACTTTAGGATTTTTATTTTGCCTTAAAAAAAATGTATGTACATACATATTTGTGCTACACCTTTTTTTACGTCGTTAAATGTAATAATAGCTGAAAATCATATGTAACTAAACAGTAACCAACGATGGTGTCACGTTACTTAAAGTACATGATGATCCCCGAAAACAAAAAAGAGAATAAATCAGACATTTTTGTTGTGGAAAAAAATTAAAAATAATCTTTTATAACAAAGCTTTAAAATGGACCTAACTGAGATAAAAACAATAATTAAAGCAAATGATTCGCAATCATTACCTGGGACCAACCAGCTCGAATAATTCTTACTGATAAATTACCATAAGCTCGTGAAAAACTTGAAACAACTAATTAAATGAATGTGGTAAATTATCATTTTAGAAAAAATTTGATGGAAGAATAATTTAGTTTAGGAGATATTTGGACTTTGAGACTCATAAATATTTTCAGTTTCATATTATCGAAAGGGATTCAAATGATATCAATAACTTATATTTAATAAAGCTAAAGAAGCTTATCGGATCAGAAGCTGATTGGGGATACCTCTGAACAAACAGTAATGCGGTATTAAATGATGCAGATCATCATTTGTTAAATTCAAATCACTTTTATATTATAGATTTAGATTCATTCTATAAAATAAAAAAACATTATTAAATTTAATATAATATTTCTTAAATATTTCTTAACCTAAAATAATAAAGTTACCGATTTTTATTCTTTTTACAAATGAGATCCAAGCACGGATCGTCAATCTGATCTGATCCGAAATTTTTTGTTTTTAAAAAAATTCAAAACGTCGAACTTGACTGTTTTTAATTAAAAAATAAAAAATAATTAAAAACGTCAAGTTAGACGTTTTTTTATTAAAGAATAAAAAAAAAATCTTTTTTTAATTAAAAACGTTGCACTTGGCGTTTTTTAAGTTTAAAAGTTTTTTAATTAATATGCTATTTAATTTTTTTAAAAAAAATAAAAAAAAAAATAAATCGTTTCTGCCGGATAATTTTAAATCAGTTGGCCGAAACGAAATTAAATTAAGTTAAATAAACCCTTTTTTTAAAAAAATAAAACTTTTTACTATCATATATAAAAAAAACATTTTGGCCGGATAACTTAACTGATATTGGAAATAGTTAAATTATCCGGCTGTCATGAGTTTTTTTTTTTTTTTTAAAAAAAAAAAGTATACTTAATTTTAAATTTTAAATAGATAGATTCAAATGATTCGAATATGATTCGGATCTGATCTGAATCCGATCCGATTCTCATTCGGATCATATTTCCCTATAAAAACGAAATGTGTTAAATTTGTTTTATGCAGTGACAATTCTATAAGTGCACGGTGCACCCTCTATAACCCGCACGCACTATATAAATTCTCTTGGGTCGCGTTTAACTCGCCGACAATTACTTCACCGACATTCATTTCACCGACAAACGTTTCACCGACATATAAAATTAAATATAAAAATTTTATAATTCTCTTTAAGTGAGCCTGATCCAACTTATAAGAGCTCTTAATATTTTACTATCTATAAATGCACACCCTCTCTAAGTGCACATTATACTATTTTTTTACTTTGGTCAAAGGAGGTGCACTTAGAGAGGTCACCGTATTTGTGCTCAAGTGTAATAAATGTCTAAAAAGCACCATTTTGTTTAATTTTGTTTTTTTGTAATAAGACATAAATCGAACAAAATGGTGCTTTTTTAGACGTTTTTTACACGTGAACACAAATATAAAACCATTTCATTTTTGATTATAAGGTTTTTGATTCGATCAGATCTGATTCGCGGATCCAAATCGGTTCGGATATTTTGTGGAACTCTACGTGGTTCTTTATCATGCGAAGGATAATAGATTGGCAGTTAAACTGTCGCAAAGATACTACAGTCTGCATCTTCATTCTTAATTATTTCAACGATCTTGCTTTGTAATGGTCCGGTTCTCCATATTCTAAGTAATACGTGTGTGACATTACATCACGATAAAGATTTTTTCCCAAATATTTTATATACCTCTTACGTAATAATTAGAAAAATAATAACCGGATCTTGAAATACGTAATCTCAAGTTTCTAATCGCATAATGAATTAACCCATTTCTTTATCAAATTTTCAAGATCTTGTGGTTCTCCGATTAAATTGTGATATTTTCTTCAAGTTTGTTGATTCACTTTTTAACTTATCAATAATAACGATAAGTCCAATTCCAAATTTCTCTGCAGAAACACTGATTGTTGAAGAAACATCGATATTTTTCAAAAGAATTATTTGTTTCTCCTTTAACCTTATAATAAAGTATTCCACCTAAAATAACTTTAGTAAGAAAAAATTGGCTGAATGTTATATTAACTTCTAAGTTTTTCGATTTTGTAATTCAATAGGTTTTAAACCTTCAAATTTCAAAATCATTTTAGGTATTTTTGTATAATAAGATATTATTTGCGTGTTCTTAAAAGATAAATGTAAATACTGATCATCCATAATTAAACGGACCTACCCTTTGTCAAAACGAACTATTTAAAAGAAACTATGTCGTCTGGATAGGAAGGCAAGAGCAGAAAAAAAAGAAAGAGACAGAAATTTTTTAGATAACTAATCTAGAATACTTCATCACGTGAATAACTGCGGATATAGTACCTTACAAGTGATAATTATGATAAAAGTTATAACAAAAATCTTTTATATATTAAAACTCAAAAAAATTATCATTATATGATACTTGTGACTTGATCAAATTTAACATTAGTAGCGAGAAAGATAATTTAAATACTAAATCATAAAAATAAAATAAAAATTCTTTATTTTATGGTGTACATTTTAACAAATATCAATCATGACAATCACTAAAATAAGAACTTTGGAATAATTTCAATCGATATTATTTTATTATTATAAATTATCTAAAATAATCGCTATATAGTAATAGTAATAATCGAAGGTGTTCATTATTTGGTAATCAGCGTTAAGAAATAAATACTTCGTCAACAAATTTTATAACTCATCATTTAAATTCACGTTAGTATGTTTATTTTTTAAAAGAACTTCGATTTATAAGAATTAATTACGTATAACATATTTAACATATTTCATAGTAAATTGATTGAACATGTGAAATTGACACATCTGGTGCTAGTTAACTTATGATATGAGTCGACGGAGTGAAGAGAGTAAATTGTTTAGCTTATTTCGACGTTCGATGTTATATTTACAATTAGACTTATGGCCGGGAGATTCATGTGAACATCTAATAAAAAAATTATTTTTTTGTAAAAATATCTCAAAATAATAATAATAATAATAATATGATAAAATACTTACGACATACAAAATTGATGTGAACATTTACAAGTCATGTGGTCACATCCATCAGTTTTATCGATGTACAGATTACATTTAGGACATCTCGTTGACTTTGAAAGATAACGCTCGGAAGCAATTTCTAATGGTTTATTTATCTCATCATATTTTTCGCAAGTTTGATTTTCATGCCAGAGGATCCCATGAGTATAGCATGAGTTCTTGTCACAACCTTTACACATGAAAATTGGATCTAAAAAAGGAGAATGCGTAAATTAGGTAAATTAATTGAAATTATAACTCTTTAAGAAATATATAGTACCTTCTCCTATATGAATTAGTCCACTTCCACAAGAAGCTTGACACCATCTAAATCTTGGATTCTTCTGAATCGCGAGTTTGAAGGTAAGAAAATCATATCTAAAAAAAATTATTAATGAATTAAATATTGTTTAGTTGTCTCCTTTTTTGATAAAAAGAAAATTATTAAACCTTTCATAGATCTTTTTTGTTGCAATTTTCTTGATATCATTTCTTTCCATTAATTTATTACATATTGGAACAGGGCAAGTAATTTTAATTTTAGCATTTTGATCAAACTGAATAATAGTTTCAAATTTATCAATATTTGTATCAATGTATCTATTAATACATTCTAAACAAACATCAACTTCATGAATACATTTTGAGGTAATCTTATGATAATTCCTAATTTTTGTTTCTAAACAAATGATACACTCACGAGTGAACATTATTGAAATAAATGGTATTAAGAATAAAAATTCCAAGAGAAACATTTAAAATGGAAAAAAGATGTTTAGTTTTTATATAGCTTCATAATTCATAAAATAACTCAGATAAGGAACATGTGAAAACGCCCATATTAAACATTTATGGTTTTATTAATCAATAGCTCATTCGTTAGATATTAGACACAAATTTTTTTTTTNCGTTAGATATTTGATACTAATTTTTTTTTTTCAAATTTTCCAGATTTATAAAGACACCAATTCATTCATTCATTCATTTTTTTTTTTTTTTTTTTTTGTTCAAGATAAAGAACGCGCAAACTGATATATACATTAAAATGGTTAACATAACTATTTCATCGTCTTTTGAAAAACAAATTAAAGTTTCTCCAAGTAATACGATTCAAAATGTCAAAAATAAAATAAAACTAGAAACTGATATTGATTAGTATATTTTGGAAATCAACTACTTGAAAACGAAAGAATTTTGATTATAAAATTGGACAAAATGACTCATTCTAATGAATCCCGGTAGGTTTGAAATATATGTTAAACGTCAAGATAAATCTACTGCTATTCAAGTAGTATAATCTTCATATACAGTTGAAAAAGTTGAAGAAAAGTATAATGAAAAGAAAAGCGTAAAGAACTCGAAAATCGGACTGCCTGTATTGAAAGATCGGCAACTATTTATCTCACCTTTAGATTAATTGGTGGTGCTGCTTTACCTTAATGTCGCTCTATAGGATTGTCTATTTGTAATTGTTTTACGTCACAATTTGATTGTCATTCTTGTTTTAGAATAGTAATTCTTTTTCTACAATATAATCATATTGTTTCTTTTCATAATTAGTTAGCTAAATAAATCATCCCTATAAGATAATACAAATTATATGTCTAGCACGTAACGACGTAACGTCGTAACGTACGAAAGAATTCACATGATATCAATTATTAATTTGTCATATTGAGTTCTCATCGGGCAGTTTCAGGCTGAACTTAAATTTTATAATCGATTAAAAAGTTTAATGTTTTATAGAAATATATATTGGTCCTGTTCAATTCCGGTCGGTCGGGAATCAGGATTTGTTTATTTTAACTTGCCTGATTTTCGTGTAACATATGAAATATGCGATCTCGACAGTATCTCGACTTTTTAACTGTCGAACGTAGAATGGATTATTTTGCATATGACCGAAAAATGCAACTGACCGGAATTGGACATTAAATAAATTTTAAAAATTATTTGCATAACAGTTATAATAACACGAAATTATCACTTCCAAAGTTCAATAAATATGCTTACGGTAGTATAATTGAATTTTCATCGCTCACTACCTGAACTCATACTTGTATCAATACTATCTAGTATTGATTTTATTCTTTGCAAAAGTATTCGCGGAATAGTACTCAATTACTACTATCAAATTTCATCATCTCAAAGTAACCAACTTTCTGAACTTTCTGGAAAAATTTCTTGTTAAGTTGGAAAATCGGCTAGGTTAATTCTTCAGTATTACTAAAAGATTTCTGATATGCGTGGTAATGTGACTAACAATTAAAAGCTACCCGATACTGTATATTGTTTATTAGTTATTGTACTTATTAAATGTCTTTTTTAATTAAATTGAAAAAGTAACCAATACACATTCGTATAGGCTTTTAGGATACAGGATGCAGTGGAATTTATCACTGCTGAGTCTGAGAATACCGGATATGTAAGTTTCGAAACGAAACTTACATTACTTCCAAGAAAAAGAGGCGGAAGAAAGTGTGAGAAAAAAGGTGTGGGAAAAAGAGGAGAACGAAAGGGGAAAGGAAGGACGATAGGGAAGGAATAATTCGGAGCCTGTTTACTTGGGATGCCTCCGGCTGAGGCTATACAGTATAATAATACAAAGATTTATTCCTCGTCTTAATTAGTTAAAAGCGTTGAATTCTAAGTTTAATTTTCATAATTTTTCTCGAAAGAAAATATAATTGAAAATCAACTAATAGAATATTTCATAAAAAATTTATTATTTTCTAAAAATTTCAATTTCTAATTAAAGTTATGATGACTTTTCACTATAGATACATTATAAAAATTAAATAGTTTACTTAAAATAAAATATAAAATTGATGCAACAAGAAATTTAAGTTATCATTTTAAAAATTATATGGATAAAATCAATCCATCTATTAAAATAAAGATTTAAAAGTTTAGTTTGATAGGATTACATTTACACATGCATGTAACAATTGTAACATATAAGACATGAATGTAATTAACATTAAACAGAATTTTTAACGTATTGGAATTATCATTTATTGAGGGAATTTCGCTAGTTGCTTGAATATTAAGAATATTAATTGATGTAAAATTTCGTATGCTTTATTAATAATAGGTCTTAAGTTTGAATCCCATTCCAACATTTTTAATATAGTTTCTGATACTCCAAAAGTGTGTCTTTAATTGATAACAGAATTATCTAAACTCAAAATTTTGTATTGGCACTACTACATGACTGTCTACATCAGGCCCAATAATTAGGGTTGGATCGGTCTTAGCAAAGACCGGTCCTGCGTCGGTCTTGGGACCGGTCTTCACGGTCTTCGGTCCGGACCGGGACCGATCTTATATTATTAATATCCAATAAAAATGAGCCAAATTTTTGTGCTCATGTACTTCTAGTGCCAAAACCGATTATCAGTTCGGTTTTTAACATTTTCGCAACGTTTTTTATTAAAAAAAATGTGCGAAAACCTTTTTTTCGTGAAATTATTAATAAAAACCGTTTTTGTAACGTTTCCTATTAATAAAATAATTAAAAAACGTGCGAAAACGTTTTTTTATTAAATTACTTAATAAAAAACGCTGCAAAACGTAAATTACTTAATAAAAACGTTTTCGCAACGTTGTTTGTTAAAATAATTAAAAACGGTTGCGAAAAACGTTTTTTTTTATGAACTTATTAATAAAAAACGTTTTCGCAACGTTGTTTGTTAAAATAATTAAAAACGGTTGCGAAAAACGTTTTTTTTTATGAACTTATTAATAAAAAACGTTTTCGCAACGTTTTCTATTAAAATAATTAAAAAAATGTTGCGAAACGTTTTTTATTTGTTAAATTACATGTTAAAAAACGTTTCGCAACGTTCTTTAATGTTTTAGAGGTCTTAAAATCATGGGGACAAATTTCTTGAATTTAAATCGGTCCGGTCCCGGTCCGGTCCGGTCCAGGTTGAGAGACCGGTCTTTTTGGGACCGGACCGGACTGGACCGATCCAACCCTACCAATAATGCTCTATATACCCCGAAGGTGTATCTTCAACAGGTTCTTCTCTACTAGCCTAAAACTTTAAATTAACTGGTCAAGCAGCTTTTTTTTTATTCGTTCTTTTAGAATAATAGAAATATAATTGTTTCAAATTTATGGTATTAAGAATAACTTTAAATTTATAGATCTAATAATTTAAAATATAATTAGCTAGCATAATTTAATTTTTTTAATTAAAATGGAATTTATGAAGTAAATTTTGACAATATATTTTGCTTTATTTATTGATAAAATTGTTATAATTGATTACATACTGATCTATCCTATATAGGGTTGCAGACATATCTTTAGGTAACTACCTAATACGTCAATACGTCATGTCGTAAGGGGTGTACTACCTTTTAGATGTTTTTGCCGTATATATGTATGTGGTAGTAAGATAGTAGTCACATGTGACGTATCTTATGTCGTATGCTGTATTATATGTTTATGCTTTATTATGTACCGTATGCCGTATATCATATAAATAAATTTAGTTCAAAATATGCAGATCTTTAAAAATTTTTTTCAGAAAAACGAAAAAAAATTATTTATTTATATCCAAATATCCAATATACTATTTATACTAATAAAATGTTATTATATTATAAAATATTAAAATCGTTACAAAATGTTATTCATATTATAAAATTATTATAAGTGGTAAAAAAATATAAAAAAAACCTAAAGTTAAGATTTACGATTTTCCAGAATCTGTAAGATTCCTTTCAGTATCTCTTTCACATCCTATAAATCCATTTAATACATCATTAGGATCATAATCCAAATCAGCTGGATCTAAAGGTTGTTCTTGTACTGGAGTAATATCAGAACTCATCTCTCCATTAGTATCATCAACAGCTGTCAAATCAACGATATTACTAATAGCCAATTCAGTATTTGAAAAATTTTCCGATGGTGAAGTTTGATTTAAATTATTATTTCCATCAATATTTACAGTATCATCATCCTCCTCTAAACTAATAATGCTATTAACTGAAGCAATATTAGTACTTTCTCTTAATTCACTTTCAGTAAGATCTTTACTCATATAACTTAATTCCTTTTGGATATTATTCATATAGTAAGACCGAATTTTTGCTATAGCTTCAAGTTTTTTTAAAGTCAAGTTAGTTCGTCTATCACCCAAAATCCAATTAAGAGTTGAGAAATTTCTTTCACAATTTGCTTGAGTTGGGTTAATAGAAAAAATTTGACAGGCAAGTTCAGGCAAATGTCGTGGCTGTATTTTAATTAATTTCCACTATACGTTTGGAGATTCAAGTCCAGAAATATAAGGAAGATCAAAAGGAGCAAGCTTTAATTCAAACCTACGAAGTTGAGCAATTAATTCTTCACTTTCCTTGCGAGTATGACCAAGACTTTGCCACATTTCAATTGCAGCTAAGGCGGCTTTATGAAAAGCTTCATCTTTTAAACCTTTACCTGTTAATTAAACAAAAAACTTTATTAATTTTATAATTTGAGATTATACAAATCATAACATTTATATAACCTCGATAATATGGATGAAGATAATAAGCTAAAATATAAAGGGGATGTAAAAATTCTTCAAATCGATAATTAAAAATATTAATAGAAAAAGATTTTAAGACATTGGTAATTGGTAATCGATGTATTGCATTAGCCAATTTAATAAGATGGATGAAGCAATCAGATAAAGTAGCTTCGTTTGCCTCTAAAAGATTTATACATTCTTTTATTGGCTTCCATATAGAACGAACTGATCGACATATGGAAAAAAAAGATTCGTCCTCCATTAAAGCAGCAACCTCATTGTTTGTAATAGAATTAGCATGCTCTCTAAGAATCTGAAAAATTGTAAAATTGAAAATTTAGTAAAATATTTTTTAATATTTTTAATTTTATTATTAATAAACATTTTACCTACCCAATCAAACACTGGCCGAGCTCTTAATAAAGCATCCTTTGTCATAAATAAATACCCCCAACGTGTTTTCACCCAAGTTTGTAATCTGCCTCCTTTGATTTTCATAGTGGTAAAACCTTGTCTTAAAAGAGCATTACTAGCGTGTGATGTACTAAAATATCGATTAATTTTACCACATTCATTAATAAATTTTTTAATAGGTTCAAGTTTGACCAAGTCAGATGCAATCAAATTGATTGCATGAGCTGCACAACGTATATTCCATATATGTGGATACGTTTGGTGAATATTTTGTCTTGCAACTCGGCAATTGGAAGCATTATCAGTAACAATTGCGGCAAACTTATCACTGCCAAGTTTTTCAATAATACTAGAAATTTCTTCCGTTAAAAATTCACTTGTATGTGAATCTGACGAATAATCATATAAACCAATCAAATATTCCATTCGAGTATCTGTTGTGACTATGTAATTATAAATTGATTTCATTTTAGGAGTAGTCCAACCATCTAACGCTATCAGAGATAGAATTTAAAAAAAATATCAGTGTAAAATTTTGGGAGAGATTAACATTTAAAAATTTTAAATCAACAAGTTGCACATGTAATAAAAAATTAATTTATATTTACCTAAAGTAAGATTATCAGATTGTTCCAAATCACGTTCAATCGCCAGATTCACTCGTGTATATTCTTCTGTAATAAGATGGTCAGAGAGAGTAGTTCGTGATGGTGGGGAATAACCAGGATTTAGATCTTTAAAGAGATCTAAAACAAATGGGTTTTCTATTACATTAAATGGAATACCAGCCATGACCCAAGCCTTTAAAATCTTTTTATCAAGTCGGTCAACAACAAATTTGGGTAAAGACTGATCAGACTTATAATGATCGGTTATTTGTGTTTGAGTTGAATAAGGTGGTTGTGAAGAAAGTAATTTTTGGTTATTACGAGAATAGGTTGTTTGTCGGTTAGCTATATTTTCACGCCAATATTTTGATATCTCTTCAGGACATTGTATACATTCATTTGCCAGGTGCACTTCCATTTTTTGTGGCTTTCCTCTTGACCATTTTGTTTTACAATAGAAACAAATAGCTTCATAATGTCCATTATTCTTTTGTGCTCCTTTTTCATAATATTCCCAGATTTCTGAGAAGGGTTTTGTATTTTTTGGAGTCTTTGACAATTTTATTTTTTTGTTATTGTTTGGTATTGTTTTTTCTTCATCTGAAGAAACTATAAGTTCTTCATTTTCATTAATAACTGGTCTTTTACCCTTTCCTGAACTGCTTTGTCCACAATTCATAGTTCATAAGTAAAGAGAATAAAAAAAAAGTTGTGAAACATATTACATTTACTTGTGTTAATTTAATTTCGTGACGTGATACAAGTACTGTACATCATATGATATGTCATACGTCAGATATTTGTCATACGTCAATATATATATCATACGTCAAGAGTTGTGGCAAACGGCATATGTGACGTATTGCCGTGACGTATGCTGTAAGGTAGTTACCCTCAAGAAAAGATATGTCTGCAACCCTAATCCTATACTTTATAGTTCCAGTGATCAAATTATAATATAAAATTTATAAAAGAAATAAAAAAAGAATATTCTAATAAACAAACTCATTTGTAATATGATAAAATATTAAGTTTTTTCATTAAATTTTTCCTTGATTCATCATTAATATCCCATTCATTTTTATTCATCATTTCATTAATTTTTTCACGAATTTTATCAACATCAGCACTATAATGTCTTAAGATAAATTTATAAGTTAGTAAAAAAATATCAAATGATTTAAAGTAAAAATAAATAATTAATTAATCAATTCTACATACATTACTTCAGGAAACCATGTTTCCCAACGTCTTTGATGTGGTAATAGGTAAAATAATTCAATTTCAGCCAAAATCTGAATAAATTGTAAATTTTAGTGCTTTTATAATAACTGAATAACTCATAAAATAATTACCTCTGCTTTCTGTACTAAATATGAAACTCTATCATTATCTTTTTCAATTGCATTATTAAGTAATCCAATAAACAAATTCATAAGATACACGACAATCAATAGTGAAAATAAGACAATTAATATTGCAAGTGATGGATTATTTATATATGGCCAATTGGATAATACACTTGAATCACCTAGCAATAAATTAAAAAAGTTTAATATAAAAAAAAATCAAAAAAAAAGAAAATTTAGATTCTCACATACCTGCTAAAAATAAATACATTGCAAAGATAGCAGTTTTAAAATTTACAAACATGTTTGTATTTCCATCAGGTTGTTCAATATATGGATTAGGATTAATAGTTCCGTTTTCAAATATTTGTTTATAAGTAGAAGCTATATTCCAAGGATTATTTAGGTCTTCGTTATGTGTATATTCTTCAAAAGAAAATTCGGATCTTGGAGATAATAAAATATAAAATGCATGTGCAAAACTTACTATAATAATTAACAAAACTACTAAAAAAGAGATAATCTGTTTAGCAACACTAATAATTAATGCAAAATATACACCAAAATATTTAAACGCTCTAAAAAATAACAAAAATTTTATATCTAAAAATAAACATGTAAAGGAAAGTAATGGAATTATATTCATTTCATTCATTTGAAGCCAAAGAATAGAAGCAATTCATACGTGTCAACCGTGGAACAGGTAGCAACTGTCATCTACCCTCCTATTCCGGTCCACGATTAAGACCAACACTTCGATAGAAAACATCGGACCTACTAATATGCAACATTCCGCACCTGACAGTATTTACGTGCGGTGTCGTTAGACGAAAGAAAATACAAAAGATAGAATATGTTTGAACTATACATGTAGCCGAAACTTGGCAATTTCGGCATAATTTCAGGATTCGACCTTTGGCCAATCATTCCGAAACGAAACTCTGGTCGAAAGTCGAAAACTGAGCCGAAATTTTCTGGCCAGCATTATTGAATTTCGGCCCGCATTACAAGTTTGTGTAACATTGTGTAACACACAAAATTTAGCGAAATTTCCTTGTGTAACATTCTTGCCTGGTGGCTAAACTTTTATCCGAAGTCACGCGTCATAATTCTGGCCGGCACTACAATGTTGGCCGGAATTACAAAAACTCTCGGACTCTTAAGAGTCCCCATTAAAAAAAATTATATTTCGGACCACGTAATAAAGATTTCGTCCAGATTTTCGTACTCCGACCACAATTTCGGATTTCGGCTTGATTTTCGAATTTGGTTTAAAAAAAGGGGAATTTCCGAAAAAAAAGGAATCCAAAAAAAAAAATAAGTACCTGAAAAAAAAGACAATAATTCGGTCCAAAAAGAGTGAAAAAAAATTTTGTTTGGGAAAAAATTAAACCTAAACGGGACGGTTTGAAAAAAAATGAAAAAAGGAACCAAAAAAAACTAAAAAAAAATCGGACAAACAAAATAAAAAATAAAAAATACCGATTAAGGTAAAATTTCATTAACTGAAATTGGATTAGTTGATTGGAATGCACACGGATCGAATAGTTTTTGACCATAAATAGATCAGGTCCCGGGTTTTAATTATATCATTATATGACATGGGATTCAAGTTACACAATTCAAATTATTTTATGCGGAGACTAATCCAAACGTCGGACAAATTTTTTTAGTTATATAGATTTATTATATGAAGATCGGTATGAGGACTGGTCAGTCCTCGGGACCGGTCCTATTGCGCCACAAAAAATCTGCAAGATCGCGGTCCGTTCCTACAAGCCCTGGGACCGACCGGTCCAGGACTGGTAGGACTGATGACCATCCTTACTTAGTTTTCTTAGTTATAAATGACACCGACTAATTTTGGTATTTATTATGTTCAACAATTTCCAAGTTGACTGTTACAAATTATTTAGTATATTTATAATATTCAAATTAAAAGAAATGCAAATGTGTCTTTTTCTTTAACATTTGAACTATTTTTGATTATGTAACATAATTCATTGAGATTGATAGTGTACTATTTTGCAATGCAATTAGCTGAAAGGTAAACGGCGAATCATGGAGCTTTAGCAGAAGTTGAAAAACTAGAATTAGAAAATACAAAGCAATACAAAGAATTAGAAATTGGTTTTTGACTTAATAAATGAAATTGTTGTATCGTGTTTATACTATTTGTATTGATCGCCAAGTATGTTATTTATTTGTATGCTAAAAATTCATACGTGTATGATTTCTTACAAGTCTGTATGGATCTGTATACTTCAGATTGAAAACCATACAGTGCATACATAAAAAACTATACCATACGGGTTTAAGTAGCACATAAAATTAAATGGCATATTTAATTAAAAAATAAAACTTTTAAACTTAACGTCGAACTTGACGTTTTTAATTATTATTATTTTTTTTCGACGTTTTTTAATTAAAAAAAAATTAAAAAAATCGGATCAAAAATTTCGGATCGGATCGGATCGAGTCTAGATCCGATTCGATCCATGCGGAACCCTACAGCTTAGATCTTTTATGTTATTTGTAAAAAGAATAATAATTTTAAAAGATAAAAATCAGTAGTTCTATTATTTTTAGGTTAAAAATATTTATTATTAAAGATTTATATAATTATTCAAATTATCAAAAAAAAAAAAAAAACTTTGTTTCGGCCGGTTAAATTATTGGTTATTAAGATCATCAAACCAATTATTTCATTAAATTATCCGGATAGCTCATCCAATCACGCTCCGAATAGGTCAGGTGATATCAGGTGTCCCATTTAGGATGATTCAAATAAAAACGAAAGAAAAATAATTCACGTTATTTATGACGTTTCAATCGTCTCATATTAATTCATTTAATCATACAAGTTTTATTCTCACGAGAATTTAGAGTTATATTCTCATCATAAAAGAGCCGACAATCGGGACATAATGATTACAGTCCATATACTGTAAATTTTTAACGTTGCACTCTAGAAATTTAGTTAAAATAGAATAGTTTATATACAGCAGTATAAAGCGAAATAATGAATGGTACACAAGTTATAATTGTTGCATGCGTAAATTATTTATTAAATGCTCTGTTTCATTAAATCCTGTGTTTTATATCTCGTCGTTTAATTTTCACATTATGGTGGGAATGTCAATTTGTGTGAAGTGAATTGTTTTGACGTGAATTTTCCTGGTTTTTATATGTTTGGAAATTCATCCATAATTTCGAAATTAATCTGTTATTTCTTATCATGGCAACATTATATTGAACCACCTTTAACTTGTTGATTTTGAAATTTTTCACGCAAAATTATTGATAGCTTTAAGTCCACAATTGAGGCTTTAAATTGTTTTATTGGTATGATAAAATCTTACAATGATAAATAATAAAAAAAAAACAAAAGATTTAATTACTAGAAATACAAATAGAAATATTTTGTTATACTACTGTCGCTGTACTTTTAGCTCTTCAATAACTTATTATCATTTATTTTAACCTTCTTTATTATAACTTCCGGAACTTTAGTTTCTTTTGCACGAGTCTTTATTATAGTAGTTATTATCGTTTTAATTCCATGCTCATCCGTTTCACTAAAGAGAGTATTTGTTTGATTTTTCATTGGTACTCCAAAACTATCAGTTTTAACCATTTCAAGAGTTGTTTCTTCTTTATTAACATCATCCGGTCTAGAAACAAATGATTCATTATGTATTGTTTTATCATTTAAGTCTTTCGTTTCGATTCTCACTCTAGCTTCTGTTTTTCCATCTTCTCTAGTTGTTGTTTCTGTTGTAGTTGTTGTTACATTTCCATTTTCGTCTATTTCACTACTACTAAATTTTGTTTCAGGAATTTTTTCATCTTTATTGCCAATAAATTTTTCAGTTGTTACTGTTACTGTTGGTTTTCCATCTTCATCAGTTTTTATTTCTGTTGTAGTTGATGTTACAATCCCAAAATCATTTGTCTCATTTTTACTATAAGTTTTTGTTTTCTTTTTCATTTTTCTTGAATCACCAGTTTTAGTCAATTGATCACCTTGTAGGATGGTCATTGATTTATCACTCTCAGTAATTACTTTGCCTTCACTAGAATTTTCTTCTGGTTCAAAAAAAAGTGTTGTTAGTTCAAAAATTGTTGTGCCTTTTGAATCTATCGTGTTTTTTCTTACTGTAGTTGCTGGTTTTCCATTTTTTCCGGGTTTAATTTCTGTTTTAATTGTTGTTTCATTTCCATTCTCATCTATTTCACTACTACTGAAAATTGTTGACTTTCCTGTGGGTATACTAATGTCAGTTGGTGATAACACTAATTCAACACTATCATTATCCTTTGGAACATTAGTATCAATAATAATTTTTGTTTGAATCTTAGAGCTGTTATCATTGGCGTCATCTGTTGGAACCCTAATAATATTATTATTTGTTTTATTCTCGTTAGCATCCTTGGTATAGACTATTGAAACGTCATCTGTGTTTTCATCGTCATCTGTTGGAACCTTAATTTCATCGTCATCTGTTGGAACCTCGACATCTCGTGTTTCATTATTATTATCACGTTCTTTTGAACCTTCTATAGATCTTTGAATATTAACAAGATTGTTATCAAAAGACTTTTCAAATTTCCTAGCTTCAAATAATTTTTTAATTTTTAATATAATTAATATTTTTGATTTACTAATTTCTTCTGATGAACTGATATGATAATCAACAAAATTTTTAATATTTTCGATATCGTTAATTAATCTCTCTAATAAAGTAGCATTTTCTTTATTAAAAAAATGATCTTTAGAGTTTTTTAAATTCGTTAGTACTTTTAACGCTTCTGATACTTTATTTCCAAATCTTTCAAGTATTTTATGATTTTTTGCAGACTGACATGATTTTACTATTTCTTCTGATAATACTATTACTGTTTCTAAGCGTGAAGAAAAATCTGAAAATGACATTTCTGAAAATGACATTTCTAAAAAAAGAAAGAATTAGGTTAATACTACATCTCATGATGAAAATGCTAGGCCACAAATCTTAGTTAATGCTTGCCTTTAGCATTAGTATTATTGTTATGGAAAATTTTTGGTAATTTGATGAAATTATTATTAGAATTTGAACGAATTTTATTATCGCTAAACAAAAAAAAAAAAAATTGTTAACATTTATTTATGAGGAAAATTGATAGAAAATATAAAGAAATAAAATACCTTTCAAATGGAACAAAGAATGAACATTTAAGATTTTCATTATCATCTGATAATTTTCTAATAACTTTTTTATTAAATGAAGGTTTATTATTAGGAAACTTAACTTTAATATGTGTAGGACGTTGTTTCAATAGAATTGATCCACGTTCATTTTTTTTCGAATATAAACTAATAAATTTTGGAATATTCTTAAAATTTTTAAATTCATCAATATTGTCGAAATTAATGGTATTATTTAAGTTATTCACATTTTTTTCAAATATCCCAGAAGGGTCAGTCATCATAAGTAAACGAAGACTAAACTTAGGTAATTCCCGTAGTTCATCTTTTGAAGAATAAGGAAATATATATAATTTCTTACGATCGTTGAAAAAATAATGACCAATCACTGGATCCAGTTCATCCATATAGGGAATTCCTATATAATAAGGCTTTTCAGTTGATGGCATTAAATCATTTAAGTCAACCACACCATTAATAACATTAATATCATTAGTATCAATCTTCAAAACTTTAAATTGTGTGTTATTAAATGATTTCGTGTTATAATCTGGAAAAATGGATTTGAAATTTGTATCATTACCGACAACCATCCATCCAATTACGAGCTCACTGTCTTTACCCTTAGATTTTTCTTTGAGACGATGAATTATAAGCTTCGGTTCTTTATCAGAAGTAAGAATTTGACAATGATAGTGATCTTTTAAACCGATCGCAGTCGCAAAGATAGAGCAGTCCGCGTGTTTGTTTGAAATAATTTCCGAGATCCTTTTTGGTAATTCCATTGTTTTTGTTCTTACGTTTTTATCATCTCCAATAACTTCAGTTTCTATCTTGGAATAAAGGATTCTTTTTCCAAAAAATGAATATAACCTTTCACGTAAATCATCATCTACAAGTTCAAAAATACTGGTTGGTTCTAGTAATTCTATGGTATCCCACTTTCTATAATCATTTAATAAATCCTCTTTTTCTTTAGTTTCATTATCAATTTGAAAACGTTTGCCCAAAATAACCTCGCTAGGAATGAACTGACCATATTCTTCAGTAATTTGTAAAAAATTTTTAAGATCTTCTAATTTTAAGGCGTCGTTCACTCTTTTAATAAAATCATCTGTCGCTTTTAAATTCTGAATTTTAAAAGATACTTTCTTATATACTCGATATTTGTATGTATTTTTATCAATATCATCGTAATATCCATTCTCATGTTTTATTCCTATTTTTGCGAAATATTTTACATTCATATTAGGAACAAAAAAGAGATTTTTCTTTATCATCCGATCTTCCCATGAATTAAATTCCACTTCTTCATCTTCTGTAATGTCAATTTCATTTAATTGGTATTTTTCCGTTATAAAAGCTCTTTGATTCGCTCTTTTAATCCCATTAGAAGTCATTGTGCATCCAAAATCTAATTTATGTAAATCATTTAAGAACTTCCAATATGTTGAGGTTTCTATTAAACGTAAGGTGTATGAAGTTTTAACGTCGTTCGACTTTTCAATAATGTCATTCAAAGTAAAATCTTTCTCATTTTCACGTGATATTTCGGCCAATCCATCAGTAAATTTTTTCGAAAATAATAATGTATCATTCATCTCAATAGTATTATCATTTTTAAGAATTTCACGAATGGCCGGTAAATTATCCTTCAGAGTCAGAGACAATTCGACTATTTTAGGTTCGGATGATTTCGAGTAATTTACGATAACTCTTACTTTTAATTTATTTAAAGTCATTTTTATGGTTTGATATAAAAATTAATTCTTTTTTTTAAAGGAAAATTGAGGACCTTTAATTTGTTTTAATTTTATATTTTTTTTTTCATAAATAAGGACAAATTTATTCAAAAAAAGTTTATTCACGTTCACGTATGTGATCAATCAATAGCGCCAAAAATGTAAAATAAAAAAAAATATATCATATAAGAGTATTTAGAGTTATGATTGTAATGGATATAAAAAATATTAGTGCATATAATATACAGTATTGTATAATAATAAATTCAAAAAAAAACACAGTTTTACGTGATCGACCAAAAATTCCAAGAACGTGAAATAAAATAAGAAATATACAGTAATTTTATTCTCAAATAAGGATATTTAGAATGAAGTTTATTCAAAAGTTCTTTTTTCGGTACTCTAAGAATAGAGTACGTGACCTGGGGGATATCATCGTGCTATTCCATATCTCGTTAAAATGAATGACTTTTTAAAAATATAATTAAGGGTTACATTTGATTAATAATCTTTTGGTCTATTCCTTCCGAGTCTTACTAGTCTTATTTGAATAAATAAAAATGGACGTTGAGATTATGTTTGATTTATGTAATGCATAATGTGTAATCATTGTTTCGTTCAAAATCCCTTTTTTGTATTTGGAGTTACATAAATCACGTGATCAGGAAAAATCCAAAAACAAAAATCCAAAAATAAAAAATTCAATAAAAAAAAAAATAATCCTTCAATTGATTTATTTTATATCTATATATATATAGTTTCATAAAGCATAAGGCACGTAAACTACTTATTATTTCAAAAAAAATTCTCTTCTTTTTAACGATTCTGAATATGTCTGATACAAGAATAATAAGAGTTATAAGAAAGGAAACGATAAGAGATGATCTATCGTCGCTTATTAAACTGAAAATTACTGATAAATTATCAGAAATTCGTAAACAGCTTACATATAACAGTATTATTAGAATGGATAGTACATTATTGTTTTTGGATGGAGATCGTGAAGATTCTAATGTCATAACGCCTGATAGTGAATCCGAACGCGATTTAAAAGATATCATCATAACTGATAGCAATATGGAAAATACTGTATATTTGAAAAATTGTGAATTTCCTGATCCAGAACATTTTAAACCGACATTAAAACTTGAATACGGGCGTACTTTAACCCCTATTAATACTGAAATCAAAATTGCGGATAAAAAAGCATTTACGATAAAAGATATCAAGCCTGTCAAACCTAATGTGACTATTAGTTATGAAACAGTCAAATTTAATTCAAAGAATACCTGGGAGAAAAAAATAACTATGTTTCTAAATGCTGAAGCTGAATTGATGAATTTTGGATCGTTAGGATTATCTTCTACGAATACGCGAAATAAATGTAAAGAAATAGAAAAGAATTTTTCTTTTAGTTATGCAAAAATTTCTAAATTGCATTTAAAATTTGAAGGTTTAGAACCTACTGAGGAATTTATCGATGAAGTTAAAGAAGCCGTAGAATCAAAAGATCGTGAAAAACTTAGAAAAATTAATAAAAAATACGGTCAATTCGCTCCTACTGAAGTTACTTTAGGTGGGATAGTTTATTATGTGAACGAAAGAAATTCAAATATATCTTCTGAACAGAAGATTAACGATGTTTCTCCAACAATTGGTATTCCTGTAATTCCTGCCGTGGAACTTAGCGTCGAAGTTGGATTTGGTATTGATAATTCAATAAGTGAATCAACAAGCTTAGAGTGGAAATATAGCAGCTGCATCGGAGGTCTCGATAGTTTTGATAAAAAAGAATGGATTAAGTCACTATCCGATTGTAAACATTGGGATTGCATAGAATTTCGTGAACCGATTCATATTTTTCAACTTTTAGATGATAATTTACGTGAGAAGGTAAATAAAATCCTTGGAAAAAAAATTCTTTATCATGATATTATATCTTTCAGTCGTCAATTAGAATATGGAGAACGAGAAATTGTTGATTTACCATTACGAGGAAAGATCTGTGAAACAATTAAGAAAAAAGAAGCTGATTGCAGTATATTCGCGACGATTGTTGGTGATGAGAAAAATGATTTCTATAACTGTCAAATCTATCATCCACGTAAAGGTAATGAAAAACCGAAACTCATTATCCATTGTTACCAAAAAAACCAAAAACGGCATAATTTAAAAATTGGGTTTATGATTATTGGTTATGGTTTCGATTTTCCAAATGATGAAAATAATGAAAATGATGATACGCGATTGGAAGTACATTATGAAGATTATCAAAATTTAAATGATCAAGAGTTAACGCGATTCAGTTTTGAACAAAATACTTTCTTTGGAATTCCTGTATTAAATGAATTGAATGATTCGGATAAATCTATTCTTATCGGGCATTATTTTTTAAAAAAAGAAAGTACTATCGAAGCAAACGTATTTTCTTACAATTTAAAAGAGAATAAATATGTTAAATTACCTCGTAGTTTTAGGTTTCAAGTACTCGTATCAGGAATTTCTAAGACTTACGAAAGTATTCAATTCAAAGAAAGGTTTATGAGGTTTATGAGACAGAGAAGATATATAGATATTGAATCGATTAAAAACGTGAAAAATATTGAGAAAATTCTATACATTAGCGTATATTCTGCAAATTGTGGTCCAGTTTTTTTAAAGCAGAAAAATAATGAAATCAAATTAAAATATGCCGATTGTAAATGCGGGAGAACTTGTTCATTTTGCAAACGCAAATCGTTAGAAAGCGACATTAAGTGCGCATATTTTATTTCGAATAAAGGTAATTTTTGTTCATTTTTTTTTTGTTTTTCCCCTCAATTATACTAAAAGTTATATATTTCTTGACTAGTATGATTGGTACACAAGTTTTTTATTAATTTAATTGCATTTTTAATTTACGTAGGTTAAAGTTTTTCACGTGATTTAACGACGTTTTTTAATTTTCTATATTGTAAGATAGGAAGAAATATTATGTAAATTTTATTATAGTGAAATAAAAAAGTTTTTTTCTATCATAAAAATTACATCTAAGCAATTTGTCAAATAAACTGTCGCTAATTTAAGACCGGCATCTTATTCAGCTTTGACTTTTGTCATTTCATCACTCCAAAACAATAACTACTCGCTCCAGAACCTTAATATTTTCTAAGGGTCGACTTTTTTATCTCGATTCATTCCATTAATCTGAACTTTCTTGTGGAGCATATTTAAACACATTTCATGATTCCTTAAAAAATAATATTCAAACAATTCGTTCATTATGACAAATTGGATAAATCTTGTTAACCATTATCTTTATCTAAAACATATGGTGATTAAAGTCATGAGCCTGTTTCATTCGGTGGTTATTCTGTTGATATAATATTTATTTGTCGTATCTTAAAAAACATTTGTAAATCATATGATTTATTCCTTCTCCAATATGTTGCTTATTTACATAGGGTTTGGATTGATTGAATTCCTTGATTATGCCAAACTAAACCATTTAGCATCCTAATATTCTTTTTTGTGCTCCTATTATGCCTTGTATATGGTTGTCCTAACGCACGATTGTAAACTCATCAGAATAACCCTTTATCTACGCGTAATTATGATTATAATTCACCGAAGACATCATTAAATATAGCGAAAACCAGTCTTTCCAGATTTTCTAATATATAAAAAGAGGAAGTATAAGAAATAAAGATTAGCATATGACCCTGCTCCTATTCCCTTATCATGCCAAGATAACTTACCATTCATATAAATAAGAACCCAATGTAGTTATGCAAATGCGGGTTAAAGATCTATCCCTTTCCACTTGGTGACCTCATAATCGTGAAGTAAGATACAGTAGTCAGTTAGATTTTATAAACTGCTCGTGAACCAGCGTAAAAATCCAAGAATGAGTAATATTGCACATGGATCGACCAGAAGAGCGATGACAATTTCAATACGTATAACGGAAGTCAACTATGTCCCTCGTAACTTCTTTCTCCTTATTGACACCATGATCAATGCGATGGTAATCAGTTAGATCTTATTAAAACTAATCCGTGAACTAACGTGAAAAATCCAAGAATGAGTAATACTACACATGGATCGATCAGAAGCGCGATGACAATTTCAATGCGTTTTGATAACGGAAGAGTCAACTATGTCCCTCGTAACTTCTTTTTCCTTAGTGACACCATCAATACGACGGTAATCAGTTAGATCTTATAAAAAACTAATCCGTGAACTAGCCAAGAATGTAGATCGAAAACTAATCTGTGAACTAGCGTTAAAAATCCAAGAATAAATAATATTACACGTATCAGCCAGAAGCACGATGACAATTTCAGTGCGTTTGATAACGGAAGAGTCAACTATGTCCCTCGCGACTTCTTTCATCATGACGATACGACGGTAATCAGTTAGATCTTATGAAAACTAATCCGTGAACTAGCGTGAAAAATCCAAGAATGAATGATATTACACATGGATCAGTCAGAAACGCGATGACAATTTCAGTACGTTTGATAACGGAAGAGTCAAACCATGTCCCTCGCGACTTCTTTCACCATGATCAATACGAAGGTAATCAGTTAGATCTTATGAAAATTAATCCGTGAACTAGCGTGAAAAATCCAAGAATAAGTAATATTACACATGGATCGATCAGAAGCGCTTTTCGTTGTTTAGCTCACAAAATGATCTAGTAGATACTACCTTTAGTGATGGTACAACAAAAGGTGATCATGATTTTTTTTTTGGCTCAAAGAAACCGTTATTTTCTAAACGCGTAATCGACTCGACCTGTAACTGCTTCGTCGCAAACGAAATTACAGTTAGCTGAGCTTGAGTTAATAAACTTATTCTTCCTTTTCTCTTTACTGTCTATTACTATAAGCTTACTTGGTTTGAATGGTAATTGTGTCATTGCAAGAAATTCCATACTCCAAAGTATTACAATTTTTTTGAAATCAGCGAGATCTGTTATAGGCTGGTCCCAGACTTCCAGTAAACAGTATATCAGAAAAGTAAGGACACAATACAGATAATTTTAAGTTCTAGAAACGACATAGCAAAAAAGAAAAAAGAATTTAATTCATTTGTAACAGGTGTAAAATTACCTCCTTGGCTTGTATTACCTTAATTCAATATACGTTCGGAGGAAAAAGTCTGTTGATTAATAATTGTAAAAATTAATTAGGTTTGGTTACAAAGACATATATGGTTTAATATCCGAATATTAATGACCCAATTGCACGTGATATGCAAGATGAATACCATTATTAGAATGGATTAAAAAATAAAAAAAAAATATTTATGCAATGCATTATTGAATCATATTTCCATTAAGAAAACTTTTTTTGTATATGCTTACGTGTACCAACGTGTGATTTTTTTTTATGCCATATAAATTTACCCATCATAAATGAATAAATAAAGTAATTTTTTTTTTTTTGACTGAAATCTTCGAACAGAAAAATCTCAAGATATGATTACGAATATTAAAAATGAATTAGAGAACTTAGAAAAATTAAAATTAGAATTTGGACGTACTTTTTCGTCTGATGGTATTAAAATTGAAAGCGCGGATACTCGCGGATTTACGTTACTTAAGGATCAAATCGAATTGATTGAATTTAATAATAGCATTTATGAAGACATTATCGAGTTTAATACAAAAGAAGATTGGATAAAAGAAATAGACAAGTTTCTTAACGCTGAAGCTGATATGAAGAATTTTGGATCATTTGGAATAGATTTTTTAAACGCTCAAAATGAAAGTAAAGAAATTGAAAAAAAGTTAACTTATTTAAGTGTACCTAAATTGTTTTTGAAATTTTATAAATTTAAACCAACTCAAGAATTTACTGAAGAAGTGGAAGAAGCCATAAAATCTAATGATCGTGAAAAATTTAAAAAAATTTATAAAAAATTTGGAGAATTTGTGCCGACAGAAATTATTTTAGGTGGAGTAGTAATTTGTTCATATGTTCGATCAGTTAGTGGAACTTTTTCAAAAAGCTTAAAAAAATATAATAATTTATTTGGAGATTATCTTGAAAATTTTAATAAAGATAAATGGATTAAATCATTAGATACATTAGATAGTTACAAAACTTGGGAGTGCATAGAATTTCGAAAACCAATGAATATTTTTCTAATTTTAAATATTAAATTACGTAAGAAGATATATGAAATCCTTGGAAAAAAAATCCTATATTCTGAGATTATAGAAAATAATTATCGATTAGAATATGGAGTGCAAAAAATTATTGAATTACCACTACCTGAAAGAGTCCTTAAAACTATTAAGAAAGAAGATGCTGAATGTAGCGTCTTTGCGACTGTTGTTGATGATGATGAAAAGAGAAATAATTACTTTGATTGTCAAATCTATTTTCCACGAAATGAAAGACCACGACTAATTATTCATCGATGTCAAAGAAAACATAAACATCCAAAATGTAAGTTAAGAATTGGGTTTATGATAATTGTTAATGATATAGATTTCAATTTTAATAGGGTTAATGAAATGCACTTGAAGGTTCGTTACCAAGATTATCATAAGTCGAATAATCAAGAGTTATATAATTTTAAATTTGGGTTTAATTTAAATGAATTAGATTCTTTCTTGGGGATTCCAATATTAAGAGAATTAAATAATAAAGATGAATCTATTATTATTGGACATTACTTTTCAAAAAATGATAATAATATTGAAGCAAATGTATTTTCTTACAGTTTGAAAGAGAATAAATATATTGAATTACCTAATTTTAGTTTTCACGTACTCACTATTAAAAGAAACGATCCTAATTGTACAATTCCTTGTGGGATAATTCCTTTTGTCAAAGAAAAACAATTTATGAAATCGAAAAGATCTATAGATTTCAATAAATATACTTTTCCTTCAAACCCAAAATATATTAGCGTATTCTATACAAGTAAAAATTGTGGACCAGTTCTTTTTAAGCAGAAAAAGAAAGAAATTAAATTAGAATACGTTGAATGTGAATGCAAATCTTGTTCTATTTGTAAGGATATTGACAACTCATATAAATCATCAACAGACGTCAAATGCGCATACTTTATTTTAAAATAAGGGGGATAGTGTAGAATTGAAGAAAATTTTTTATATAAAATCGTATATAATATGTACAGTATATTCTTAGTTAATAAAAAATTTATTTATTTTTATTTAAAATTATTAACGTGAACGTAAATACAACTAATCGATAAGTATAATGAGTATCGGGAGGAAATCTGATGCGATTTGAGTCTGAAATTTTTGAAACGATAAAATGATCTTCATTTATATATTTGAGTTCCATAATGAAAAAATTAGATTTCACAAGAAATCTGGGCCTGTAAGAGCGCTAATTCCTTTCGAAATGCTTTAATTATCAGGAAAAGACAGCAAAGGCAGAGATGACCTTTTTTTCACTGAAATTTATTAGATTGGACTTGTATCAGTCTTATAAGGCGATATCACCAAATTTGCAATCATTTCATACGAGTGAATAAACTATGGTCGTATATTATTCAGTTATAACTAGCAACGTATAGTTAGTGATTATACGTGGTCTTGTGGGTGGAGGAGTCGCTGACTTTAATTTACTCGATAATATCAATTATTGATGGATTTTAGTTCTTTATTTTGAATCTATATTTTATTTGAAGTAACTAAACTAGCATCACGATGAGTTAAATCATATATATAAATTTTTAAATTTATTTCTTTCCTTTCGATAGGAAATTTTGTATTCGATTTTCTATGCATCAAAGGAAACTTTAATACTAAATATGAATCAATTCCACTCGTTAGCGGGAAGACCACATTGGAGGAGCGCGTTCAAAGTATTAAAAATATACTTGAAAAATATTATCTTGATACTAATTTATTGAATTCATTGTAAATAAAATATAATGAAGTCGATGACTAGTGCTTAAGCATTAATACTCTTAAGATTAACTTGACGCAGGGTACACCGTCATCCTGATTACATAAAAAAAAAAGATATTATATCTGGGTCGGATAATCCCGGATTAGAAGCCAAAAATCCGGATTAGATTTACATATAAACTCAGACCTAACTAAGTTCACTAAAGTACTATTAACGTTTTAGACATCGCAGCAGTCAATGAGATCGAAAATAGATCACGTGATAGTATCGGAAAAAAATGGTAGTCGGATTTGTTGTCAGGTTATAGATTATTTATACACATCCATCGAGCTCATCGATAAGAGCTAAGAAAGATTGAAAAACAGAAATCCCGTGACCTGAAAAATGAAGTTAGACGTCAAAATGAACTTGCTTTTAAACATGAAGTCTCGTACGCGCAAACACTATTGCAAGCGCAAAGCTCAGACCAAATCTCTTACGGATCATCAAGATAATTTTCATAGAAAAATCACGCATCAAGCAAGAATAAATTTAATAAAAAATGGGAAGAATTTTCTTTCCCATACACATCTTTTGAATTTCAGATTATGACATTACATCGGATGAACTAAGGAAATCGAATATCAGCCAAACAAACGAGATGTCGCTTCAAGCTCCATAAGAATCTTCGATCATGAACAACCCAAGATAAAAAATCATGTTCTACGGCTGGATTTCACGATGACTACTTCAGAACTTTTGGATAATTAATTTTTGATTTTTATATACTTTTATTTAGCCATCTACCCTTTTTTTCATGTAGCGTGTCTGCTACATCTCAAACAATTTAGAACCACTCGACACCTTTTACAAAGTATTTACGTGTAACAGCTTCGGCTGAAGAATAATAAGGGACGAGGATTTTATTTTTTCTTATTCTTAATTTCCTTGTTCGCTTTCGGTTCCTACTGCAGCAACTATGTTACTGTAGTTAGGAAATAGAAATAAAGTTGTCCAGGTTACATTATTTCGGTAATTAGTGCGAATAATTATCGGTTTATATCAGCAAAAAATATAAAAATTCATTTTATACATTAATATTAATTTTGTTATTCATAATAATAAATTATTATGTGCTGCGATTGCGCCAAATAAATTCCTGTGAATATTTTTGTTCTTAATTGGTTCTTAATTATTTTACACTTTACAAGTACTGTTAAATACACTACAATACTATTATCCCAATACATTATATTATGATTCAAATCTTTCCTGTAGTATCTTTTAGTATCGTAATATTATCATTCATCTTTTCCAATAAATTTGAAATTTCTTTAACCGTAGATGAACTTATGGTTTATTATGTGATTCTTAGTCTTAAAACACAATTCTCCTTTATTATAAAGTTCATTAGTATTATTTAAAGTAGTTAAGAATTATATATAGTTTCTAATATATCTGGACTAATTATCATGTTAGGTTTTTTGTTTATATTTTCTTTATTGAATGTGATCTTATAATATCGTTTATTGGTCAGTCTATTTGGATCATGCTGTTAATGTCCAAATACCGTACCGCACTGTACATAATACACCAGGTATTATACAAAATACCTGATTTAAAATTATATAATACCCGTGGGTACTTTGTGATATAACGGGTATTGTGGATGATAGGATATTATAAAGGGGATATTACGCTTATTTTGCTAACCAGTCAAAGTTAGAAGAAGCAATTACAAAAAGTCTAGGATGGATCATTTTTCAAAATTAAAAAAGATTAACACATTTATTTCTAATAGGAATATTGATTCAACTCCTAAGTCTATGATGGAGTACGGTTGGGACGTCAATGGGTGTAGAGTTTGAGGAGAAAAGAGGACCTGAATTTATATACACAAAGAAAGATATAGAGGAGATTGTGGCAAGAGCAGTTGAGGAGCATGTTAAGGAAAAAGAAATGATTAAAGCAAATGTCAACCAGAGTGCGAGAAATATATGCAGAATGATGGGCTTAAGTTTAAGTGGGTTTGACTTCAGCGGTAGTAATGTAAATAAAGATAGACAAACGCAAGTTTTGTTGAAGAAATACAAAAAACTAACGTTGAGCAAGTTGTTGCGAAGGAAACTTTAAAATCGAACGTGTCATCAGAGAGTTGAGACGAGGAAGAGGTTGTAGATATTGTAGATAAACATCGAAAGAGTGTGTTGTCGAGTCAGGAAGTGTTGGATAAGAACGGTCACGTGACTCCGGACGAAGTGGTTGGCGTCATCAATAATCTTAGGAAAGAGGATGTATCGGTAACTGATGAGGACATGAAATTATATAATCAGGTGAATCAGGGTTGTTCGTCGCGTCTATCTGAGATTAAAAAAAAGAAGAAATTTCAGAGGACGAAAAAATTGGACAAAAGCGAAGTGGTAAGGAACTGGTAAGGAGGAAATTAGTAGAGGGATAGTTAGCAGTAGTGAAAATGATGGGGAGAGTGAATCAGAAAATATTGCTATGGAGGTAGCACATAAAAAATCCGCTTAAATAGGGAAAGGTAAAAAAGGTGGAAAGTCGAAGAAAAAGAATAAAAAGAAATGGTAAGTTTGTTAGTAAAATATCTGTCGTTTATGGTCGTAGGTATTAGCATAGATTTTGATTAAAAGTTAAATTAAGTTAAAAAAAAATAAATAAAAAAAATAAAGGGGGTATTATATTAGTAACATATCATATTGGTACGACACAATTTTATTATATAGGAACGAAAAACCTTGTATACCTGCACGTTTATTTTTATGAAAGTAACTATTTTATTTTAAAGAAAATTTTCCCAGGATGATTGTGTTTTTTTATTATCGTATCGTCTAAGCTAAAGCAATTTTCCCCTGAATATCATATCTAATAATAGTTATGAGGGATTGCAATATTATATGTTTGGGAAAATTGTGAACAGTATATTTGATAAGTGGGTCACTGGAAATACCAAACAACACATTCATTAATTACCGATCTGGCAACTAATAAAATTAGAAAATGCTTTTATAGGATTTTATTCACTTGAAGAATGAAAATTATTTTACCAATTTACTGGGAAATGGAATATTAGAATTTATAGCGACTTATTTTTCGCGGCTTGCAATTATTTCTTTATCGCTTCTTTTTTCTAGTAAATTTTTACAGATAATTTGTTTCAATAAACTTTCAAGATATTGATTGATAAATATTTTTTCAAAGTCTATATATATTTAAGACTTTATTAATTAAAAATTTTATTAAGACACTATGGTTTGTGGAAATTTTAGAGCTCACCGTGCTAAAATTTCACAAAAAAAGAGACGTCAATGGTCAGCAAGAGAGAAGTTGATGGTAATCGCATATTATGAGCAAAGGTCATAGCAAACGATCAACAGCAGATAAATTTGAGATTGAACCAAAACAACTTTGAAAAATAAGGATCAGCTTATGATAGTAACTACCTATGTTCAAAAACTTGCTCAAGGTGCATGTCCAAAATACCAACAGCTCGAAACTGAATTAATAGAATGATTTAGAGACTCACGAAGGCAATTAAAACAATTTCGCGTTATATGATTCAGGTAAAAGCACGCTCTTTTAATTTAGTCAATAGAAGTAAAACAACAATTGCTCAACGACTTCTAGATAGGGATTGGAATCGATTTTACAATAATCGAATTTATCGAAAATCGATAAGAATCAATTTTAAATCGATTATCGAATAAAAATCGAATTTACTTATTGTGGCGCAGTAGCGTTAATAAGATTTCCCCTGCGTACCCTACAAGTATTGGCCTATTTGTCACACATTATTTGTCACATAGTTAATTTCTTAATTTCTTAATGCCGGCCGTTTCGTGACATTTTGGGGTAGTCCGTTAATAAGAAGTTAGGTCGATGTCACGTGACATTAACAAAAATCCAAAAAAAGGAAAATTTGTTGTCCAATGAAATTCAAGTTATGTTGTACAAAATTCCCAAAAAGGAAATTTTTTATGTCGATCTTAATAATTTTGATAGTCACGTGACCGACAGTAGTATAATTTCGATTAACGATTAATCGACGATTAATCGATTCTAAAAAAAAAAACTCTTTCCCCTTTTTTTATTTCTGTTAGTTTTCTGCAGTAATATTGCGATAGTTTTATTTTCTTTTAGTTTCTACTTGAAACGCTAAAGGGGACGAGGCCCAAGCGGGCGCCTTGGTCTTATACAAGGTTTTTAGTTCTCATCTTATCCCACACTAAGGGACTATGTCAGCTTCAAATTACAAACAATCCAACTCTTCCTTGGCTTCATATGAACCTTCGAAACCTTATCCGCAGTTGGACGGACATTCTGATAGCAGACGAAATATTCCTGAAGGCAGACTTGCTAAAGATAATGTTTCAGAGACGACTATTAAACCACAGGATAACACACTTCCGACTATTATAGTCAAAGCTCCTTTACCTTCACCAATATTTTCGACTTTTTCTTTTTTGGTCTCTTTCGAAAAATTTTACGTGACTGCTGCATCCAAAGCAGGTTATAACAAGATCTATGAATGTAGGCGTTCAAAAAGTTTCTTTTTTGAGGTTGTCGATCAAATACCAGACACCAATGAAATTCACCTGAAGATATATACATCCGATCATCATATGTCATCTACTCCAATTCGGTATTATTCCACAAGCAAATTACCTAATCATCGATTTCAAATATCTAAATGCCTCACGCACTTTTTTTTACATCAACGAGTTATTCCTCGGCGTATTCAAAATAAATTTTTTAACATGATACGACTCAAGTTGTTGGATAGAATCAATCTGATAGCATCACGTGAAGGAAAAATCATGTGCAGCAATAATATTACCAAAACTTTTTTCAACTTCTCTTACAAACGATACAGATTTCACTTTGGTATCTATGTAGCTTGTAACCATCTACCTACAAAGAAGTCTCCCCATCAAAAACCAACACCATGCCGTACACCGTGCCCTTTTGTTAAAAATTTTAATCGACACGCTTGTAACCAACATCATTCGGCCATCACTCATATAATAAACACACCCTCAGAGGATAAGGCAACATCAGCACCTGTGAACAATATCATTCATCACAAAAGTTATCACGCCAACATAATTTACAAAAAGTATAACGATAACTCGAGGCAAAAGATTTTTTCAAATCGATTGGGCATTTCTTATACAACGTGTTATGAAGCACACAACCTTGATTCAATTTTACCCCTTATCAGGCTACTGGTCCTATGTACACCAAGATTTACAAAAATTTCTCTCGTACGTTAAGTTCGAATCCACGTACAGCTGCACGGCAAAAAGCTCGTTTTGATCGATCTTGTCGACGTATTTTTAATAGTAATAAACCTAAATCTGGGATGGCTCTTAAACTCCGATATAAGATTAGACTTGCGAATCAAAGGAAGTTCCTTTTCTGTCCATATCAAAAGATCTATACACGGATCCCTCACTTAAAATTCAACATGGGATTATTTAAACGTTTCCCAACCGTTCCCTTATTCCATTTTCCATACGATCAGAACTGCGCTCTTTTACATCTACCTGAAGATAGGATTTTTCCCCCTCACATTAGTTCTGCATTACGCAGTGTTATCAAGAATCAGGACTCCGATGAAGAGGATAACTCTTCAGCCAATAATGGCAGGGATGATACATCAGAAAACTCTTATAGGGATTGGTATATCAAGAATCTTATTGACGAACACTATGGTAAAGGTGCATCAGAATACATAGATGCCGTACTTTTATTACAAGACTCTACAATTCAGTTATCCTTGAGAGACGCATATATGTTAGGTTTAGATGAAGATCGCATTAGTGAGATCAGAGCTCGAGATCGTCTTAACAAACGGTTAAATGTCATTAAAGACATCGAAGATCATAATACTTCTGCCAAACATTATCTTAGGCGTACTAATGCTATGGAGTTTTTTACTCGACTGAATGATAATTTTGATGACCGTATGGCCAGTATTCGCAATTTCGCGTATGGAGCATCTAAAAAGAAAAGCAATGACAAACGAACAGTTGCATCAAGACGTCTTAATAATTTGATAACAGATTTTGGATAACAATACAGGGATGAACACTACCCCTTTAAACCATACCGTGCTATTATTCGACCAAATGATATCCAATACATCAAAGATAATCTTGGTGATACCTCCGATGACACGAAAATAATAGAACGTCGCCCAAAAAAGCGTCGTGCCAGACATAATCATTATAATAATTATGGAGATCTTATACCTCTAACAAAAAAAATTTGTCTTTTCGATTGTAGGGTTACCAAAGAAGAAGACTTCTTACCCTCTAATATAGATTTAATTTTTAAATTTCGTATTTGAAATAGTTTAGTTTCTATATTTTGTAATTCATTTTTTGAATTTTTTGGTTCGTATTAAGATAGATATTAACAATTACAAACAGTGTGAATCATTCCACCTATGACAGTATTTACAGGTGGCGACCTTGATGGTTGAAAGAAAATACGGGTTAATTAGTTCGCTTTTTAATTGATGTCTCTTATCTTTACGTTGGTCATAGCGGTGGGATGAGCTATGGCCCTTTTATATAATTAGAAGTTAGGGTCCTTCCTTGAGCTTTTATCGGTTCCTGGCAGGATGATGACAAGAATTAGGATCGTCTCCAATGGGAGTTTATCCTGCTTATTTGGCTGTCCGGCTTCACATAAAATAAAAATTAATCGATTCTAAAATCGATTCTAATAATGATAATCGATTCCAATCCCTACTTCTTGATGATTATATTGAGCAACAAAATCAATTTTTGTATTATGTCCTTTTCATAGAAGAGAGCACCAATATCCATTGTTTTTAATTGCAAATATGGATGAAACGCATATGGCACTTAATTTAAGCAACACAGCAGTTGGACATTGGGATACAAAATCTGTTGCTATTTTATCTACTGGGCATGAACGCGCAAATTTTACTGTTGTTTTAGCTTGTATGGCTAATGGTGAAAAATTGCCGTCAGTAATTATTTTCAAACTTGTAAATGTTCCGCGAGAGGATTTTCCTGATGTACTAGTAATTGTTCGTACTAATCCAATAGTTGGATGAATTAAGACGAGATGGCTTGGTGGATAGAAAATATTTGGACACAACGTGCAAAACAAGGCAGCAACCAAAGATCTCTTTAGTGTTAGATTCTTTTACTGCACACAAAACTGATGCTATAAACGTCGATTTCATAGAAAAAATACTGATTTGGCTTTTATTCCGGGTGGATTAACTTCTCATTTACAACCACTCGATGTATCATTAAATAAATCTTTTAAAGCTAAGGTAAATTTCATTCATCAAATTTTTCTGCTATCTAATATAAAATTAATATTGTTTTAATAAAATTAGATGCGGACATCTTTATGATCACTGGATTAATAAAGCTATTAAAGTATATACTCCATTAGGAAAAATTAAAAGACCATCGTACTCACTTGTAGCAAATTAGGTAAAAGAAAGTTGGTTGCAATTGATACCAATTTGATTATGCGTTCATTTAATGTTGTGGTGTTTCAAACGCGAAGAATGGGACGGAAGATGGTTTAATATTTAATAAAGTACAAAAAATAAATAATAAAGGGAGAAGAATTGAAGCAGATGATGAAAGAAGTAGCGTGAACTAGATGATAATAGATCGGATGATAGTGGTAATAGCGAATGTGAATCAGATGATGATTATTATAACAAAAATGAAGAGCGTAATGTGCTTCAAGATTGTAATTAGTAATGCCAGTATACCAAAATCACATTTATGGAAAATTTTACAGTCAACTCTCGATATACCGAAGTCGCCGTTCAAGACTAAAACTTCGGTATATAGTGATCTTTGGTATATCAAATTTTTTTATATACCGAAGTTTATATATTTTTTTAGAAAACTTCGTTATATTAAGATTAAAATCATGTGACTTTATTATACCGTTACATATTTTACGTTTAACAAATTTTACAAATTACTTGTTGCTAACCCAATTATCTAACGATACTTATTTTTTGTGCTTTTTGTAAAAATAACCAATGTTACTTTTCATATATTTTAAAGCAGCTAAATGTTTAACTCCAAAGTAACGTTAATACTGAAAAATAAAAATGAGATCATTTGATCATATTAGATATGGTTTGATCTTCGGTATAACGAACTTTTTTTTATTATATACTATTATATACGGTAAAAATGAAAACTTCGGTATAATGTTATATAAAATTTTATAGTAAAATCGGTATATCAAAAGATTTTAATTATTAATGAAAATGGTTATATAAAAATCTTCGGTATATGGTGATCTTTGGTATATCGTGGCTTTGGTATATCGAGAGTATACTGTATTTGTATTTTGTATTCATAATTTTGTTATAGTGAATATGTTACAAGGCTAATAATAAATAAATGCTAAATATTAGAATATACTATCATATCGAGTTGATCTTTCATTTTTATTTATTGATAATTGATAGTAGATAATATGAAATTTGTGACACAAAATAAAATGTCTGATTTGTACCGGGTCTTATACTTATATCCGGATCTTAACCTTAGACAATTTTTTATATCTAATAAAATACCCGGATCTTTTGACGTGAGTGTACTGTAATGTCGGAATTATCTAGTAAATTTATTAAGTATAGGGCGTAGTTTTATAATTAGTTTAGGTGTATAAATTCTATTTGTTAGCTTGAAGATAAGAATGCCGAAAAGCTTGTGTAATGTGTTTAGCTTTGATCGTAGTATTATTTTAATAAATTTGTTGATCGTACTAACCATGAAATTCAATATATGGTTAGTTTGATGCCCAAATATAGCTTAAACTTTTCCAGCATTTTTATATTAAGCTTGAAGCTTGAAGCTTGAAGCTTGAAACTTATGCTTAAGCCAAAACTTAAGTATATGCTTCAAGCTTCAAGCTTCAATCATTGGATCCGCAGTTAGCTTCTCTACGGATGGCAGGTTAATATATATATTTTTTTTTTTGAAAAAAAAAAGTGATTCTTTTCAAAAAAAATGATGATCGTGTACGAGGACCCAGAAATATATATAAGAGGGTCAGGTTTGAGTTTGCGTATTTTGAACTAGGAAAATCATGAAAATCTTTCCTTTTTTAGATAATTTTTGATAGTGCCAGTCAGAATTTTATTTCCTATTATAGTAACCGACTGGCATTATCATAATTCCGGCCCTGAAAAAATGCGTACAGCTCATAGTAAAAAATTTTTTTCATCACCTGACCCCTATATATATATTTCTCGGTCCTCGTGTACGTAATCATGTACGTAACAAAATGGTAATGATGATAAATAATAATTACATCAAAATATTTGATCATAAAAAAAAATGATTCTATTTTTTTATCCATTTACGATTTATTGTCCAGATAGGTACCTACAAAATAAAAAAAAGGCGGAACATCCCTGTTTCTGAAAAGCGACGTGAGACGATATTTCCTTTTTGGAAATTAATGTAACCAAAAATTTTCCTTAGGAATACTATTCCTTTTTTGTTTGTATAACATAACTGACGAGTGGGAGAAAAGCTACACAATTACACAATTCAAAGGAGTCTTAGCGTGACACCATATGATTACAATGATTTCAAATAATATAGATAAAGATAATACAACAATATAAAAATATATATATATATATATAATGATATAGTATTTTAGGACAATACTCATACTGAATTTTAAAAAAATATTGTTAACACACAAATATGGTGAAAATATTGTCTGTATGAAAATTCTTTTGTATGTTGTGATGTTTCAGCTCCTAAAAAG